GGGGAGTCTCTTGGCATTTCGTCCCGACGATCAAGCGTCTAGACTGTATCAGGATGGGGGCTGACCTGCCTGTGCTCATCCGTTAACTATTGGCGGATGGCTCATGGTATCGGCTAATCAGGGGCATCATTCCTATTTGACAGCCCCGGAGGTTAATTAATCGCAAAGTCACTCTTTAACCACATCTACATTGAGCCATTTATCATCAACATACGCACCTCGCCTATGCCAGCTCTGCGCTAGAGGACGTAGCTTCCTTTCACCAGGCTAGATCTGGTAACAGCACGCGCTATGGTCGCAGATCCAGTTTGAGCCTGGTTAGGAGGAGGATCTAGCGGCTCTAGTGATGTGCACGGGTGCGCCTGGATGACTGGGGGACAGTCCGCAATGTTGAGTCAACTATTCGTGTCCCGAGATATTTAATCTGACAGGTCATAGTATGGATAGTGGGTACTTCGATCAGTAATCCGGCCATAGCAATGTGGTGGAACTTGGTTCATTCTGAATTACGTAGTGCTCTCTGTGCAAAAAAGGGAAAAGGGGTCTCGTCTGGCCCCTATTCCCTTTTCCCTTTGTGGTTGAACACGATCTCGTCCATCATCACATGGCCCCCTGCGTCTTGTCTCACATCCTGCAACTGCGCCAGGAGGTGGGCCATGCGGTCCGATCCTCTCCCACATTCCATTCGGTCGGGACCCCTTTGTTTTGCACTGGCTCAGCATCAGCATAGAATTGCCTCCTGTCCAATCACTCTGGCAAAGATCCGGCCACTGACAATACTCTCCAATAGATAGGATTTGCGATCTGAGCGCCCTTGTGTTGAGTCTGTGCGCTCCTTTTTCAAATCACCCATGACATGACTCGTGGTGATCTCACAGTTTCAGACTTTCTCCAATGTGTTGTGTCTCTGGATCAGAACCAGAATAGGAGTCATCTGATGACTGTGTATAAAATGTGTAACCTCCGTTCGTCATTCCAACGGGTCTGTACATAGTACCACAAAGGCAGTTCCAAGGCAATAGCGTGCTATCCTACCTCGAGGCGCGTGTTGTCTCCTGTCTATCGGCCCTGTTGATCAAGACCAGGAACATGCTCCCGCCATCTCCTCCAATAACACATGGATGATCCAACGCACCGATCTACACACAACCAACCCGGTGGTACATTCGTTCAGGCAGGTCTATCGCGGGAGATGCACAGTCCTCAAACTCTACCTTTATGGATGTGTCGATTTGGGCTTGTTCACCGCTACCTCCATGATTCCCTCTTTATTTCCGACCACGACCATCCTTATGCGATGCAAGTGTGGCTGAGAATAACAGTGGAGTACTAGTGATCCACTTGAATTGGTGGTACAGGTACAATGGTCGTCTCCACCAAATCAAGATTGTGCGAGTCTCCCGAACAGCAGAAAGAAAAGGCAAAAGAGAAGAGACTTTACAGGTCTACTACGTACATATAGTGCATATCCACAGTAGCGAAGCCACATCCCCATCCTGTACCCACTCAAACAAGCGCCATCGCCATCCCCGACGTGCAGCGATCGTCTCTCAAGTGCGTGGCTCTGACTGCTGCCGTGTTCAATCTCCTGCTTGCCAGTTACATATTCACATAATTCCATATTCCACATGCAAGTCTAATATGTATGAAAAAGTAATGGTATCATATGGCGCACGATTGAAGGTGACATAACACTACACCTCACTATAATTCCCGACTGATCCTTCGCTGTGGTTCAGGTCAAGGCACGGTCGATCTAGGGCAGTGGACGTGACCTCGTCTGTCGAAGTCTGCGTTGCCCACCAACAGAGTCCAGTAGACGTGTCGCGAGAAATCCCGATCGTACTGCGCCGGTGATCACCCGGATAGACCGGAAAGAAAAAAGGATGTTTAGGTTCTATAGTCGCAGATAAAATGTCCGTCGGTTATGAACTACCCGTCTCGGTGATTCCACGGGCGCGACGGGCGATCGACGCGAGGTGATCGGCTGGGTCTAAGTTTTTGAGTTTCTAGACTGTGGCGCAGGTTTGGGTCGCGGTGAAGGTTAAGATGTTATTACGTCCATCACGTACATATTGATTTGCATTAGAGTTATACATACTAAGAATCTAGAGCGAGATCATCCCCACGGCTCAATTCTACTAGTGTATACAGGGGATGGAGATGAACAATAGACTTGAGTTGAAATCGGGCTCACTACTTAGTCCCAGCATTGCTACCAACATTCTTATTAGACAATTATATTTCCCTTACTACAGCCAAAGGAAATCACTTTAATTTAACCTAGGAATATTTTCCGCCATCCAATCATATTCCGTCTATCGGAAATTCAAGAAACACTTTTAGGTAGGGGCCACCTAAGTAGGCGTTACAAGGACACCCTAGCCACAACGATAAGGGGCTATGCATGTCTAGTTGTAAGTTCAACTGCATGCAAAATCGGCGTGGAAGGATGCGCCTCGTGGCAGAGCATAGGGCATTCGTTGGATATCGATTGGATGCGACTTGGATCCGTGGAAGTTTCTCGTTTCGGAAGGCTATTAACGTGGTTGCATAGATGACATTTGGAAATATATCGTAATATCATAGCGTAGCCCGGGGATGTAATATGAGAAATATTAAGGTAAAAAGTATCTTTTTCTCTGTGTATTAGTACCCTTCCTCATTTTCGATGTTCTTATCCGAGATATATATCAACGTCTCAACACCAGAGATATAGTATTGGTAACAGTAAAGCTACCAACTTGGGTTGCGGTCGGCTCTGAGATCACGCAGTGACTAAAAGAACACGGATTTCAATAATGCATCCCTGTTTCGATAACAAATCCACTTCATTCAAGCCTGACACTGACAAAACTAACCATTTCGCCGTTACAATACGCGATTTCCCTTTATTGTCGAGGCTTATGTGAAGGAAACATGTAAAGTTCCAGAAATCTCTTCCTAATCTGGACCTGACTCCACAGAAGACCGAAGTCTTCCCTGGCGACAAGCGATTCAATAGCGGTTCATTCCTGTCGGCAATCTTTGACTTCTTCGCAAAATAGACGGTCTAGGCAGTAGGAATGCAGACATGCCCTTTGCAGACGGATTATAAGATTGCTCACTGCACATTCTCTCATCTTCCGCTTCAACAATCTGACCACATGACATGGTGTTATCCCACCCGAACTCAGTAGTATGTCATAAGCCAACTCCCAAGCCCTCGTTTCAGAAAACCGGCCCAGGCCAGCCGGAATCCAGACCATTTCACTCCCAGTTGCATTCAATAGCAAATACACCTGCTGCAAAGAACACGCACATGCCGCACATGCTTCATATGCTACAAGTAAGAATAAGAATAAGAATTTCCCACATGTATCCAGGTCAGACATGTGAGATGACAACCTCCACGGAAGGAAAAGGAAGATGCTAAGCTAGGAGAAGTATAAGCATAAAATATAAGCTATGTTCCCTGTAAGTAACAATAGGACCTTCACTCTCTTTAATAATATCGAAAGAGTTGATCATTCTATCTGCATCCTGAATCAGCCTGTGATACACGTGGAATTGAGAACCGGGCTTCCTTCAGAATAGAACAGCATTTGCTTTTTTCTGTGGAATAGTACACTTCTGCAATGTCTCATACATAGTGCACTGTAGCACACACCCAAATGAAGATGCTGTGCCCCGGAGCTGCTCGGGTGCCACGTTGTTTCGATTGAGCAAAGATCGAGATCCGCGATCTTGCATTATAGTGGACATGGCATGTGACATTCTGCCTGCAGCAATTTTCGAAATCAGTTATACTAGAAAAAGATCCTGTAATTTACTGAGAATACCCTTACATAGATTATCCGATGCATCTCATTGCTCCTTAGCAACAGCACTTTGATCCTCCTACTGCCCCCTTACAAGCTTTCGCTGATGATGATGACTTCATCGCCCGATGTAGCGTGCTCTAAAGAAAGGTTGCAATCCAGGAGTGCTGACAGGCCTACCGACGGTTGGAAAGTGATCGTCATTGGCTGTAGAAATGCAAGCAAGGCAAAGGAAAGCGGAGATGTAAATATGCCAATACGAGCAACATGAGGAACACGAAAACCACGAGAAACACGAAGAAACTGAACCGAAACATCACTGGCCTCCTCCCCTGTGCGTGCTCATGTCCCTGCCGCACAGAGATCCAATGCCCTCGCTGTCCACCCAAGCCCAAAAAGCTCAGAAAGCTCAAAAAGCACCATTCCTCAAATCAGCCTCTGTTTTCCCGCCAGGGATCCTTTCTCCTTCTACATCTCTCCATTAATAGCTCCCTCATAACCACCGAGGCCTTGAATCACTAAGTTCGCCGGTCGCTTGCTGCATTCCTACATCGTCGTCCGGTCTTACTCCAATCGCCAAGCTCCCGTATCACCGAGTACGCCATCTCCTGCGCAACCATCAAGTTTGCGATAATACTCCATATATGAGACTACTTCAATGGGAAATACTCGTATAAGACATCTCGCTCTAGACAAAAACCCATTGGTGTCCCGAGAATGATTTTTGACCATCTACCCTCGGAATTGTTCCTAATAATAGTGACATTTCTAGAGACAGAGCGAGATATCAACTCATTATGTCAAACCTACAGACGACTCTACAGTCTCCTAGACCCATACCTCTATCAAGAAAACGCTCGAATGTCGAATTCCGCAATTGTATGGGCTGCCCAACGAGGGAGTGAATCCACAGCTCGAAAATCAATACAAGAAGGGGCTGAACTTGGAGTGACGGATCAACATGATCGGACACCATTATCCATAGCGGCGGCAAATGGTCATGAGGCAGTTGTACGGCTATTACTTGGGACTAGGCAGGTGGACGTGGACCTAAAGGACTCTAATGGCCGAACACCATTATCCAGGGCCGCGGAATGTGGTCATAAGGTGGTGATGCAGCTATTAAAAGACTGGGCAGGTGGACGTGGACCTAAAGGACTCTGGGGGCCGAACACCATTATCCTGGGCTGCGAAATATGGTCATGAGCTAGTGGTGCAGCTATTACTTGGGACTAGGCAGGTACAAGTGGATTCAAAGGACTCTGACGGCCGAACACCATTATTCTTCGCCGTGCTGTATGGCAATGAGACGGTTGTACAGCTATTTATTGAGACTGGGCAGGTGGATGTGGTCTCGAAGGACTCTGATGGCCGAACACTATTATTCTGGGCTGTGCGGTATGGTAATGAGGCAGTTGTACAGCTATTATCTGAGGGTAGCCAGATGGACGTCGATTAACAACGACTGAGAAATTCCATCGCTCCACCATCCCTTCGTGAAGGAACCTTGTGATTATTAATTGGATCCTCCAGAAGAAAGCCCATGGATCACTGTGCTCATTCCTACCACACGCGTACTAAGGAAGGTCAATATCACCAATAGAATTGGGTATCAAAGTCAAGGCTAAAGTATGTACATGAAAACAAGAATGAGAAGTGAAAAGAGAGTCACAGAAAACATAATGAAGGTAAAGCCCACAATCCTCCCAACCACGAGCTTATCCATCCACTATGCCGTCGCCTCCTAGACAACAACGTCCTGGTTATAGTACAGATCGCAAGCATGAGGATGCTGCAGACAGTACTTAGGCACGAGCGCGGTAGCCATGACACCATTTGCCACGAGATACTCGCGGAAATTCAGGATGCGCTGGGTCATCTCTGTGGTGCGCTTCTTGCCCGTAGCCGGGTCCCGATTTCCGGACCATAGGAGCTCGCCGAGCGCAGAGGCGCGAGGCCAGAACCCGCTGGAGACGGTTACGTCGTCGACTTGTTCGGACCAGAGGGGCGCTTCGCCGCCGAGGACGTGCTTGGCTTGCGCCTCAGTGAGGTTGGCGGTAAAGTCATAGTCATAGATGCGTTGCCAGGTCTTGTACGGCGCACACCAAGATCCGCCGTTGCCGCCGTAGTTGAAGGTGACATCACCGGAGGGATTGGACTGCACGTCGTAGCGAGGGTCGTTGGTCACCGCGCCGCCGTGACCGCAGTCCAGATACAGCCAGTCGGAGGAGGAGACCACGACGTCGTAGCCGCGGGCAGTCAGGTTATCAATGTTGGCTACGCCGTTGCTCCAGCTCTGCATGACGATGTTCTTGGGGACGTCGTGCGCGGACACAGGGCCGAGGGCGATGTCTTCCCACATCATGAGGCGGCGCGAGGGCGGGGCGGCCTTGTGGAAGATGGGGACGGCCTTGTCGACCCAGTACTGGGCGAGGTCATTGTAGGTGCGCGAGGGGTCCTCGTGGAACCACTCGGTGACGTACTTGCTGAAGTTGTAGCAACCGGTCTGGAGCTCGTCCGCACCGACGTGGAACCAGTTATCTGGGAAGATACCCGACAGCTCGTGGTACACGTTGCGCACGACATCATAGGTGCCGGGGTAGATGATGTCGAGCTGGCCCGGGTTCGGCTCGACGGCGCTGTGGTACGTCCAGTCGTCATTCGACCACCACGAGTTCGCGCATGCCACAATGTTCGGGTCAACCTGCTTCCATCCTGACTCCGAATGGCCGGGCATGTCCACCTCGGGAATGACCCGGACACCGCGAGCGCGAGCATAGGCAATCACCCGCTGGAAGTCACCATGGGAGTAGGTCTCGCGCGCGGAGTAGGCATCCCTGGTCATCTGTGGGTAGACGCTCATCTGCATCGGCCACGACTGGGAGTCGTCCAGGTGCCAGTGCAGGACATTGAGCTTGGACAGGGCCATTCCATCGATCTGCTCAAGGATCTTGGGGACGGTGATAAAGTTACGGCCCGAGTCGAGCATGATACCGCGATAAGGGTAGAGCGGCTTGTCCTCGATGCGGACGGGCTGCTCAATGATCAAACCGCCATGACCGTCGGAGATGATGATCTGCTGCAGGGTGGTGAACGCGTGCAGCGCACCCCAGACCGTCTGCGCGTTGATTTGGATGGTGCTGGATCCCTCGCCCACGTCCAATGTGTACGACTCGTCCACGCCGTGCTGCAGGTCGGCATTGCCGTCGGCGACAAATACGTCAATGGTATGGAGCGGGACGGCAGCGGCACGTTTGTACGGTACGGGCGTGATAGTGGGTTCGCCGGGGAAGGGAACGAAGTGATTCGCTTGGATCGGGGCCTCGGTGGCCGCGGGCACCCACTGGAGGGTGGTGATGGCCTGCCATGCGCGATCCCAAGCACTCGTCAGGATTTGGGCGTTCCGGCCGTTGTGCTGCGCGCGCAGGGCCAAGCCCTGGACACGGACCGGGCCCGACGAGCCCCAGGAAATGTGGCGCGGGGCGGGAAGTGGGTTGACCTGGACAGCCACGGCGGACGCAATGGCCGCGGCCACGCTGAGGACGGCGAGCTTCATGGTGGAGGAGGGTCGAGGGTGTTGAGAGAGGGAAAGAAGGGGCCAGGGGGGAAGGGAATGTATTTATGGCTGGCGGATCTGTTGGATCGATTGGAATGCCATCAACTAGCCAACTAGTTCCTGTTTAGTTACCTGGAATTTACTACTGTCGTGTTTGATTGTTATTCTCCCGATCGGATCGAGTGTAACCGTCCAAACAGCCACCGCCGAGCCCTAATCTATGGCCCGTACCCCTGAACACGCCCTGAGCGGGCCCGGAGGTTTCGTTTCATGAGGTTACATCCCCTGCCTGTAACTGTGCTGGCCCCATTTTACCCTTCCGCCCTTTAACTACGACCTCCACATACGACCGTGGGGAAAGCAAACAACCTTAAAGGACTGGGCGGATAATCGGATAATGGGATGATATGATAGCATTATCTACTAAGTTACTTCTCAAGCGACCGCTCCATCTCCATCCCCTCACGGAACTCCTCCTGAATGGCCGCCGCGGCCTGTTCCGACGGAGGCACACACGGCCGGCGTGGCAGTCCTCCATAGCCATGGTATGATTGCAGCGCACTCTTGACCGCCACAAACCCCCCATGGATGGCCGCCCAGTCCGCACGGGCAACCACCGCCTGAGCGCGTTGCGCTTCCTCGACCTTGCCGCTGCGATACAGCTCCATGACCCGGACACTCGACCGGGGAATCACGTTCGCGACACCGCCGATAATGCCCGCACCGCCGGCGATGAGGGTCTGCAGGGTGAAATCGGCCGAGCCGCCGAACGTGAGGAACTCTGGCTTGGCGGCTGCAGCAACGCGAGCCAGCTTGCCCGTGTTGCCGCAGGTGAGCTTGCAGCCGATGATATTGGGGTGTTGCGACAGAGCTAGGATATCATCTGAGCTGAGGTCCAGTCCCGACGACGCGCCCGGGAAGTTATAGATGAGGACCGGCACGGGCGAGGCGTCGGCCACGGTGCGGAAGTGCGCATACATGGCTTCGGTGTTGACCAGCGCCTTGTAGTAGCTGGGTGGCAGCACCAGGACGGCGTCGGCTCCCGACGCCGCGGCATCCTGGCAGAGTTGGACCGTCTCGCGAGTAGATGAAGCGCCGCAGCCGGCAATCACGGGCATGGAGGGATATCCAGCGGCATCCACGGCGCGGCGTGTGGCGGCGGTGATGGCCTTGCGCTCATCGCGGTCCAGATGTACGGCTTCGCCATTGCTGCCCTGGGTGACCAGGCCGGCCACACCTGTACGGGCGAGGTAGGCAGCGTGTTTCTCAGTTGTTGGCAGATCGATCTCCTCATCCGGACGGAAGAAGGCCACAGTGGGCACGTAGACGCCGCCGGTGAGCGGATTGTGCTTGGAGCTGCCGTTGGCTGCCATATTTTATGTAAGAGATGTCCGGAAGGATGGAGACGAGGAGATCAACATGCGGGCATCGAACGAATAAATAGTAAGTGAAAGAACTAATAAACTCTGGATCAACCCCCACGTCCACCCACAGTATGCGTGGGAGACACCAGAAATGCCCCCACGCCGGTTTGTATGCGGGGTTGGTGAAGTGACTGCTTGGGGCTATTATTACATAGTTGTTGACTGGTCGGAATGATCTCCATCATTAAGTACCTATGGTTGTCCGACGCTACTACGAGTCCACGACCGTTGCCGTTTAGGGTATTCCTCGGCCGAGGATCCCTTCTCCCCCACACTTCGTGCCTGGCGGTGGGAGAACATGGAATTGAGCAATTGATCCAGATCATAATCGAAGTTATTGTCTGTATTGTCATTGTAGTGAACCTATGGCACATTGTCTATTGCGTCCCTATCGTGGAAGGGAGAACTACAGGAGTGAGTGCATGGTCAAATACAACAGGCATCAAGAATAGACCTCGTCGAAAATTGTTTCAACCGGTGCCGTAAATGATTTCTGTACTGGCCATGGATAGAAACCTGTACACACAGTGGTTGCACTAGGAACGATAGACCCGGTGGCAGGTGTAGGCAGACCGTGGTATTCTTGCATCGTGAAGTGGATGATTGGCTTAGGGTTTCACCTCCTGTTGTTGATCGTGGTACAATTGGCAACCGGACACCTCGCTGAAGACAATAGTCTCAATCTGGAGAAAGAGAGCTATTCATCCATGCTATTCATTCACCCTCGCTCTGCGTCCAGATATTCCTCGTCTCGCCAAGGCTAAATCATCACCATCTCCGCCATCCTCACCCTTGCCCCATCAGTCAGATCTTTCTCTGCGCCCGATCGAGTCACCTCACCCGCCTCCAATTAATTCCTTCCTCTCTCTGCGCTGCGTTCCAGCATGACCGGGGACTAATTCTTCCGCCCATTGAGCAATGGCCCTGCTGTCGCGGTCCTCTCTCCGTGGCTCAGGGCGAGCGCCCGACGACCACGACCACTCCGACGAGAACGACGGCGGGCTGGCACCGCCGTTGAAGAACTCCGACGCGCCCAAGAATCCTCACTCGCGACGCCGCAGGAGTTCGCCGGACTGTTTGGACACGACTACCACGCTCGAGAATCTTGACGCCACCGACCCGCCGCCGCCCTTGAAGCCCTCGCGCCCGCGTCTCTCCGCCCGTGACCGTGCCTCATCTTCCTCTTCTACCTCGTCCTCGGCCTCCCACACACCTGCCTCTTCGGCAGAACTGGCAGATCCCCGTGTCAACGGCCATAATGGCATCGTCAAGCACGCTCATACTGTCGATTTGCAACCGGGCGCGCGCGAGTCTCCGGATCCATTGGACACCATTCTCTCGCCCAACATGACCCTCAAGACCGTTGACTCGTCGGCTGCCGCAGCTCGCGCCCGTCACAGCGGTGACACATCCGTCACAGATGTGGACAAGACAGACTCGGTGGCGGCGACGCGGTCGACTCGGTCCCGCAAGAGCGATCCCGGCGAGAACCTCGAGCAATCGGATGGTGGCAGGCGATCGCTGCGTTCGACGGATACTCGATGCAAGAGCGAGCTGGCACAATACATCTCCAATTACGAAGTGCTGATTGGGCTGGAGGAACCCCAGCCTGGTAAGTATGACTGCTACAGGACGAGAACAGCCGCTGATGATCGAACAGAATTCTTAACTGCTACGACGACGATTACACTGATTGATGACCTTGACGAGCCACTACCTTTCCCCCACGAACCAGACACAATGCCTTTCGGCAATCCACTGAAGAACCTTCACGACTGCAAGGTGATCAAACTCCCCGAGCCGAAGGGTGCAACAGACGTGGATCCACTGGGCGAAGAGACATACTTCCGCGCGCACCGCAAAGTCGAGCGCCAGGAGAAACAGCTCCGCAACATTGAGCGGGATCGTTCAGACCACCAACAGCAGACATTGGAGCGTCTTCTGGAGGAACTTCGCAGCCACGACTGGCTGCGCGTGATGGGCCTGACAGGTGTGCATGAGAGCGAGAAGAAGGCCTTCGAGCCCAAGCGGGACCTCGTGATCCAGGAGGTGGTGGCGCTGGTGCGCAAGTTCCAGCTCTGGAAGGACGAAGAGCGTCGACGCAAAGTGGCCAAGGACAAACCAGCCGACGCTGACCTGCGCTCTCGGAAGCAGTCTCAGCCGGTTGAGGATCTTGAAGGTTCCCCGGTCACTGACACCACGCCTGACCCCAACGACGTGGATGCATTAGCTGCTCAGCAGTTGCACCAGGAGGCCCGGTCGGCTACTGTCGCTGGCAAACAACCCAAATCGAACCCAAGCTCTGGCCAACCAACGGAAGAGGTTGGTAAAGGCACCAAGCACAAGAAGTTCCACCAAACTACCATCCCATTTGAACCGCTTGCACCACCGCCAGATAAACCATTTACTTCATTCTTCGCCAAGCCATCCCAGCGCGCGGCTGCTATCGCTGCTTCCAAGGCCACCACCCACAAACCCAACCGCTCCATCCTCGCATTCGGCCGTCCAGTTCCCGAAATGGGAGAGCTAGACTTCGAGCCACCCTCCGATGTTCTCACGGAGGACGCAATCCAATCCGCGCAGCGGAAGCGGCGCCGACTGAGCCGGCGCAGCGGTACAAAGTGATGACTTTTTGTTTCTGTTCGTCTCATCTTTTGATCGGATCCCATTTTGTACGATAGCATTTCACCGATCAAGCATGGCGTGCGTCTTTTTCTGGGGTTTGTGTTGCACATTGCACCTGATGCGGGCGTTGGGCGATTGTCTGTGGGATTGATTGTATCTGGGTCTGTACAACCAGGCAATCGATAATATTCAGAGTATTCATTGCCGTCCCCCGTGGGGATTCCCGTCAAAGTTAGAATACTCTAGGGGGCATCGGTGTTATTACTGTGTTATTTTCCATTTAAGCATACAATTTGGGCATACAGGCAACTCACCCTTGTCTCCAGTCGAATAGAGGGAGTCAGTCAGTAATTTCAAAAAATGAAGAAATCTCTACAAGTCTGGCCCATCTAAAACGAATAACAGCACAATGTATGAGTTGAGACAACTATAACGAACCAAGGTGGCAAAGTGGCGCCCAATCCGGAGAAGCAGCCAAACTCCGGTGATGACGGCTTGACCAACTTCGGCCCTGAAGAAGATCGGCAACTCAATCTAATCTACTTTCGATCAACCTTCTTCACTCCCTCATTTCTTCATCTTCTGTCTCTTCGTCATCTTCTTTCTTTTTTTGCGCAAATAAAATAAAAAGAACATCCTAAAAGAACCCTTAACCCCTTCGCCGGCATCGGCGAGCCACCTCTCTTCCCCGGTTTCTGCAGGCCCCATCCGAACCACATCCACCCGCCGTTTCTCTTACGTCTCGAAGCCGTGATTCGCGCTCTCCGTCCGACGCCGGGTTTTTGGGGTCCCACTTTTAATTCTTACTTTTGAAGGTCTACAGCCCAGTCATTATTGGATTGGATCCCTTTTTCTTTTTTCCTTATTTCCCACGCGGGTGGTTTTTCCTGTTGTGTTTCTGTCACTCTTTTCGCGACCTTCGTTATATATCAAAGACTTGACTCGGTGGACATCGCTCCCTCGCTCCCTCGCTGCCGTTATGACCGTCCAGATTGTGGACACGCCACCCCCGTCTGACCTGGAGGTTGGTGAGCAGGACAAAAATAGCACCCAGGTCGATCCGGAGTACCTCGATGATGAGAAGGTCGCTTCGCCGCCGTATAGGCAGGACCCGTATGGCGATGAGGAGTTCGCGGAGGTGAAGTACAAGGTGTTGAAGTGGTGGTAGGTTGGCAAGAGGCCTTGAGGAAAGTTGATCGGCGCTAATTCGTGTGCAACTTTAGGCAATGCGGTTTACGTACGACCTTCTTTTCTTCTCTCTGAAATTGATCCCATCCTAACTCTTTCACACAGTGATGGTCGCCGAAACCGTCTCTCTGGGCGTCTTGTCCCTCCCCGCCGCCGTCGCAGGCCTCGGTCTCATCCCGTACGTTACATCTCATACGCCTCCTTGGTTCATATATCAACACTACTAACACGACAACACAGTGCAATTATCATCCTGATCGGTCTCGGTCTCCTCGCCACATACACAGGCTACGTGCTCGGGCAAATGAAATGGAAATACCCGCACATCACAACCATGGCCGACGCCGGCGAGGTGATTGGCGGCAGATTGGGACGCGAGCTGCTCGGCATCGGCCAGATGCTGTTTCTGATTTTCATCATGGCGAGCCATCTGCTCACGTTCACAGTGGCGATGAATACCATCACGGGCCATGGGACTTGCTCGATTGTGTTTGGGGTGGTGGGATTGGTCATCTCGTTCGTGTGCTCGTTGCCGAGGACGCTGGTGAAAATGTCGTGGTTGTCTCTCGTTTGTATGTTCTCCCATCTTTCCCAAAATGTTCAGTCAGGGCGAACTGACTCCTCCGCAGCATTCGGAAGCATCATGACCGCCGTCTTGATCACCATGATCGGCGTTGGCATTGAGAAACCCGACACGCATATCGTGCCCGCCGTCCACACAGACCTGTTCCACGGCTTCTCAGCCGTGTGCAACATCGTCTTTGCCTTCTCGGGCCACGCCGCCTTCTTCGGGCTGATGGCTGAATTGCGCAACCCCCGCGATTTCCCCAAGTCCCTGTGTCTACTCCAGGGTCTCGATATCTCGCTCTATCTCATCGCTGCACTCGTTATCTACCGGTACGCCGGAGATGATGTCAGTTCGCCGGCACTGGGCTCTGCTTCGCCGGTTGTTGCGAAAGTTGCATATGGGATTGCCCTACCTACAGTACGTTCTGGTCATTCTGTTACCTTGGATCAATGGTTCCTGACTCTTTATAGATTATCATCGCCGGCGTGATCAACGGCCACATCGCATTTAAATACGTCTACACGCGCGTCTTCAGCGGAACAGACCGCATCCACAAGCGCGACTGGGTGGCGATCAGCTCGTGGGTGGCCATTGCGCTAGGCCTGTGGATTCTCGCGTGGATTATCGCTTCTGCTATCCCCGTGTTTAGCAGTTTGCTCAGCCTGATCACGGCGCTGTTTGCTAGCTGGTTTAGCTGTAAGACATCCCCCATTGTCCCAATTCCCTCTCCTTCCACAAAAGCTTTCCTTGCTAATAACTTCTAGATGGATTGAGCGGTATCTTCTGGCTGTATATGAACAAGGGCCTTTGGTTTTCGTCTCCGCGGAAGATCGCGCTTACGGTCCTCAATTTTACACTCGTGGCTATTGGCGCGACTTTGGTATGTCTATGTGCCTCCCCTCGTTTTGGAGAGGATTTCTTGAAACTGATTACAATTTCAGTGCGGCCTCGGCCTCTATGTCTCCGGCAAGGCTATCCATGATAACCCGAGCAGTGCCAGTTTCTCGTGCGCGAATAATGCGACGTGAGATGTCTTCTGCTCGCTCTTGCTTATTTGTTCTGTTTCTTTCTTGGCTAAAGGCGTCACCATACATTGCATTAAACCTACCCTAGCAATTCTGGTTCCTGTTCCCAATCACTTTTGTTGGGGGTTTTGCTTGCATTTGCTGCATTTGCATGGCTGTTTGCTTTGCTTTTGGGGGTGTACACTGTGCATTTTGTATATAGACATGGGGAATATAAACTAGCATTTGGATATTCCGATTTCGGGTTTGAGAGCTGATTCCAAATGTTCGCACGGGATTCTGCGGAGTGGTGCTGGACGGCAACATGGCAAGTGCCCAAGATCAGCTGGCGAGTCTGGTGCCACGAAGAGATTGAACGCGTCTCTTCTCGAGGATCATCCAATAAGCGCTATTTACACGTCTCGTTTCTGGGACGTGCAAATGCCCATTCTCCCGGCGGCACGAGCATGAATAATAGCTTGCAAGCCAAACTCGCTATTCCAGGAGTGGCTTCCACTAATACCTAACTGATGCAGCGCACAGATAGTACTCTCCTTCTTTCGACCAAGCAAGGAAGGATAAACCTATATAGGACCAGTTAGATCTCCACTTGATAAACCGCTAGAAAATCAAATTCCCGCGAGCAACGCAATCCCACTCAGAGAGAAGATTAGGTCGTCAAAGCCTTACACATGCGTGGATGGTATGGCATTCCGACTAAGGATGACTATACGATGATTTTCATCATGGTGGGAGGGAGGCTCGCGGAGAAGGATCGAAAGAGAGAGCGTACCTTGATGCCAGAGAGAGGTTGATAAACATCCCCAATCAATCAATCAATCATCGTACGAGACGATCCTGCGGCCAGAGTATGGCACATTTGAAACAGGTCTCTCTGTCTGCGGCGTATCATGTCCCAAATTGTCTTCGCTATAATCCAACGGCTCCGAGACGGGGACTGTCTCACCCCGGTTCTTCGTCGTTGACTTTTTCTTCGTCTTCTTGCTCTTCTTCTCTTCATGCACGCTCTTCAACTGCGTATCCCCGTCTACGGCCTCCTGCCGAGATGATTGTGTAGGCTCTTCATCTCCCGCATCCACGTCCTGATTTTCATCATCATCACCAGTCAACGACTTCCCCCTCCGAACCTCATACTCTTCATCATCCTCCCTCAACTGCCTCTCGCGCAGAAGAGCATGGATTTCACTATGTCGAAAGATCCGGATCTGCTCGTCTGTCAGGGTGCGCTGCACGCCGTCCGGGTAGAAGCCTAGATCTGGGTCGTCGTCTGCATTTTGCTCGTTGGTGTATTCGGGGAGTGTGGCGGGGGGTTGGTGCGGGAAGTGTTTTGAGTGGAAGGTTTGGAGGTCTTCCTATAGAGGCTGTTAGTTGGTGAGTTGAATCAGAGCCGAGGGACATACGCTGGTGATCGTTGGGACCTGCATTGGGTGGTGGAGGAGGAAACACGAGGTGGACGCGCGACAGAAGGTGAAGATTACCGTAATTACATTACACATGATAGGCATCTTGAGAACCGGATTACAGATCTGTATGACGATTGATGCTATCCAGATGGATTTCTATGTGCAGCTCTAGTTCACTCTCTAGGGAGTGGTATATTAACAACATGGTTCCCAATCTTCGCCTTGACACTGTCAAATCCCACCCTCAATCCCTGCAGCGCCTTCAGATCTACCTTCCTCACCCTCTCCCTCTCCGTGGGGTCCGGTTCCCCCAGACTCCACGCAAGCGAAATATGAAAGCAGTCCGAGTAATCTATATCGCTATCCGCCAGACCGCTCTTCTGGCCTGCAGACGCACGGGACGCGCGAGTGTCTCGCTCGTAGAGGGGCGGCTGGTGAAAATGAGCAAGGGCGTCGTTCGCCAGCCGCAGCAACCGGTTGAGATTGTTACGGGCGGGTTTCTGCACGCGGAACACGAGGAACCAGCGCGTGTGCTCGTGGTTGGAGACCCAGTCCAGGTGGGCGGGCTGGATGGTAAATCTGGGGTGGTTGGTGGGGGGTGTCAGAATGTGAGACACGATGCGCCGACCAGGGATCTCTGGCGATCAACACTTACGGGGGAATATGGGCGGTTTTGATCACCCTTTCTAGTCTCTCGGTAAACGAAGCCCGCTGCTCCGTGCGTAGAACTACCGGGCGCGACAGGCTGATGTGGAGAGGCAATTGCGCGCCCAGATCGGAATGCAGCAGACTGTGGTGGGAGTCGATGAGATCTGCAAGGAGGGGCAGCTCGTCTTTGGCGGGATACCCTGGAACGAGAATTAGGGACTGCGACGGGCTGAGACAATTGCAAGGGAAGACCGACACTCGAGGTAGAGGTGCGTGGGCCAGTTGCCTTCGACGTGAGGAATGACGCGCTTCCGTCCGCCGTGGAGAGCCGGGTCATCTTGCACGCTGACGCGGGTGCTGGCGGCGTACAGGTCGTGGAAGGAGGGTGGTAATGGCGGGAGAGCCGAGTGAGCCTTAGACTTTTCCTCCCCGTCATCGGAGTCGGAGTCGGAGTATTGGACCAGGGACATCAAGGGGGGATATGATGATGTGAAGAAGTCAGTGGAGGGGATCAGCCGTGGATCCCGTCCAGGCTGTGTTCCAGGGCTGCAGGGTCTGTGTGCAATACATCTACGACCAGGTCAGTCTAAGACCGCTCAAGGAACTAGACCAGCCCGACATAAGCTTAACCGTGATGGCTGATCGGGTGCCTCGGAAGGGAATAGTAGGTGGGTCAACCTTAATACGCAAGTCACGACGTCACCTGCCACTAAACTATATCCTGCGCCGACTGACCATCCCTACCTTCTACTGTTCTTTCTCTCTCTTTCTCTCTTGTCTCCTCTCATCGGCTTGGTACCCCAAGAAGACACCACTACTCTACGTTTACTTCTACGTCCTCCTCGGATCTACACCAGTTATTGGTTATAATACTCTCTTAAATGGCCGCCGTCGACTGCATGTCCATGGCCCCCTCGATGGCCTCGTGCCATCACCCCCACCATCCCTTCAATAACCCCAACCGCCGCCTGAGCTACTCCAGCTACTCTAGCTTTGGCAGCAACAACCCCTACGCCCGATACATGTCCCCCTCCCCGTCGCGGCACCGTCGGATCCGCTCGGATTCGGTGCCCTCGAGTTTGTATTCCGGCACTCCCGAGGACCACCGCGACTGCTCCATCCCCCGGCGCCGCGCGAGTGCCCGCCAGCCGCGGTACTCGCGGCACTCGCAGCTGGTGCAGCCGGATATCATCGACGAACTGGATAACGTGAGCCTCTACTCGTATCACCACGAAGGCCCGTATGATGCCGTACGCCCAGAACGGAACTGGGACATCGCCTCTAGTCCCCTGGAAGCCGTCAAGGAGTCCAACGCCGAGGCGCTGAAGGCGACCCCCCACCACAAGATCGTCGACAGCATCAACAGCCACCGACCACTGGACGGCACGGCGTTCTACCCACCCGGCACGACGGATCGCAACGGCCAGACTTATGAGTACGAAGAAGGGGCCAACATGATGAACGACCTGAGCAACTTCTTTCGCATCCCGGGCCTGCGTTTCACCGACAAGGACTTTGAGAAGGATCCCTTCTATACCCGGCCCCTCTCGAATCCGTTTACGCAGCTGCGCAAGAAGTTGAGTCTTCGACGCAAGCGACGCAGTAATACCGCTTGACTTGATGGCTATCCCACGACATTTGACTTGACTTGACTTGACTTGACCACGAACGACGCGACACCGATAAACGAACCAACGACGTGAGACTCGACTGATGACCTGGTTTTTCTTTTCGTTTCTGTTTAATATATTTAGAATGATCCTCTCTTCTGGCTCTTGGATGTGTTTTCTTTGGAAGAACTGACTTTCCGATGTACCTTTCTTTTGTTGCTCGCTCCGGTGTTTAATAGGGGTATCGGTGTACCAGGCGTTTCCTGTAGGCGGGTTTTGGCATGTACAGCCTATCCAGAATCAGGGCTTCTGTTTTGAGCTTCAATCAACCTCATCTTGTTGTTCAACTCCATCTCAAACTGTAGACTTCCAAACGAACAGGATCAGCCGTGCTCGGAAAGGCATAGGGTAGAAAGCAGCCTCCTTCACAGATGATGCAAATCTCATGGCCTCCATCCGCCACACCTGTCGTCAGTCTGATCTCAGCCCCGATGCGCAAATAGACACGCCACGCCTCATGCGTCCAAATCAATTATCTCCATACACTTGAACCTATCCTCACATTCCCATCACTGTATAGATCAGCCTATCTCTTTTTCGTACATAATTCTCATCATGGCCGGTGTCCAACGCCATCCCCTGCACTCCCTCGGCCCCGTGCACCCACCCCAAGTCGAGCGCCAGGCCATCAAGCCGTCTATCGCGCGCCACGTCAATATCCAGGTCTCGGATCCGCTCGACCATGAAGCCCCCGCCATCCTCCACGAGCCGAGAAGCTACAACGTTACCGAGGCGGGGGGAGCGGCGGTGGTGCTTGTTTCTGGCGCTGGAGGTGGCGTTTCTGGCCCATCTGGTACAGCACCCAGTCTATAAACACTTTAAATATCAACTCACTCTGGTATATAGGGATCTACCCGTCGCTCGCCGACAAACTCGCCCTCCTCCTCTCCATCCCCTGCATCCGTCTCGACTACCGCGCCCCCGCGCAAACAGAATACTGCGTTGCCGACATGCGCGCCTCGTTCGACTACCTCCACGAGCAATACGCCTCCTCCCGCTTCGTGGTCGTGGGCTGGTCCTTCGGCGGAAGCCCATGCTTCACGGTCGCAGCGACCGAGCCAGCCCGGGTCGTCGGCGTCGCGACGGTGGCATCGCAAACCGCCAACACGGACGGCGTGCGCAAGCTCAGTCCGCGGCCGTTGCTACTGCTGCATGGGGAGAATGATCGGGTTTTGGCGCCGAGTTGTTCGAAGACGCTGTATAACTCGTATGGCACTCAAGGGACGAGGGAGTTGAGCCTTGTTCCCGGGGATGACCATGGGTTATCGCGGCATGCGCCTGAGGCCGAGAGGAGGATTTTGGTTTTTGTGGCGCAGACGTTTGGAATGGAGGGGGTGTTGGATGCTTCGGCGTTGGATCAGGCGGGCCAGGATTTGGTGGCGAGTCGGAGGGAGAGAGTGCATGAGATGGAGATGGGACATGATCTGGAGGGAGGCGAGCGCTTGTTCTAGTTGTAGGGTTCACCGAATCGTTCTCTCCATACTCCGTTGTACTCCGGTATGTAGATCGTGTATAGATCATGATTCATAGTGTCACTAAATATTTAGTGGGTGTAGTATGGAGTGGCCAATCAGGTTCTGCCACTGTCATGTTAGGGGCCATCATCCGATTGATTAGTTATTGGCCACCTGGACTCTTTCTTTCCTGGACTCCCTTCTTACTTGCATACATTGGTCTTCTTTTTGGTTTTGTTTCCCTTCCCTCCCAGATTGATCTTGTGCGACTGGCTCGTTCCCTTTAGAACTAGAATATCACGGCGATCCTGATCGCGCCCAGGCAGAATGCGTGGCGCAACGAATCTTTTCTATGCCGCTCTCTTTGCCTTCCTAGGCGTCGCCCACGCCCACCAGCCGAGCTCCCGAGATGACACCTGTGCGGTAAGTATGTCTCTCACCATACCTGGTCCTCAACTGACCCGTCTAGCTCGACCCAAGGGCCATGGTCTCCGACGCGTGTGTCTCGTACGGCACCATTGACACCACAAACGACCAGATCTACACCCTCCTCCACTCCATCACCCAAGACACAGACTTTTTCTCCTACTACCGCCTCAACCTCTTCAATAAAGAGTGTCCCTTCTGGTCCGACGCGAATAGCATGTGTGGCAACATCGCCTGCTCCGTCAATACCATCGAATCCGAGGAAGACATCCCGCTCATCTGGCGCGCGGAGGAACTGAGCAAGCTGGAAGGGCCGAAAGCACACCACCCACCCCGCCAGATCCAGGCGGAACGACCAAAAGAACGGCCGCTGCAGGGAATGCTGGGCGAGGATGTCCGCGAGAGCTGTGTCGTCGAGTACGACGACGAATGCGACGAGCGCGACTATTGTGTCCCCGAAGACGAAGGGTCGGCGGGTAAGGGGGACTACGTGAGTTTGGTGGACAACCCGGAGCGATTCACCGGATACTCCGGGGAAGGGGCACACCAGGTCTGGGACGCCATCTACCGGGAGAACTGCTTCATGAAGGCCGACGAGCTCCAGCAGCAATCGCTCTTCGTCCCTGGGGTGGGCGGTGCCGTGTCGGATTTCCGGAATGTACTCCAGAAGGAGTCGCAGCGACTGGACGGCCTCCCGCTGGACAACGAGTGCCGTGAGAAGCGGGTCTTCCATCGCCTCATCAGCGGCATGCATGCCTCCATCTCCACCCATCTCTGCTGGGACTATCTCAACCAAACTACCGGGGAATGGCACCCCAACATGCAGTGCTACAAAGAGCGCCTGCACGACCATCCGGAGCGAATCTCCAACATGTACTTCAACTACGCGCTCGTGTCGCGCGCCGTCGCCAAGCTGCGCAAGCACCTGCAAAACTACACCTTCTGCACCAGCGATCCCGCCCAGGATCTCGAGACCAAAGCCCGGGTGACCAAACTCACCAACGCGTTGGCGGACCGCCCCAAGATCTTCGATGAGAAGCTCATGTTCCAAGCTCCGGACTCGATCACGCTGAAAGAAGACTTCCGTAACCGCTTCCGCAACGTCAGTCGACTGATGGACTGTGTCGGCTGCGACAAGTGTCGGCTGTGGGGCAAGGTGCAGGTGAACGGGTACGGCACGGCGCTGAAGGTGCTGTTCGACTACGACGAGACCAAGAACGGGGAGAACCCTCCTCTGCGCCGGACCGAGCTCGTGGCGCTGATCAATACCCTCGGCCGGATCTCGCATAGTATTGCCGCTGCTCGCAGTTTCCACCTTGCCCTGGTGGCGGACCAGGACCAGGCTTTCCCGCTGCACGGTGGTGCGCCATACACGCATAATCACAACCACAAGCAGGTCAAGGAGGAGGAGACAAAGGAGGAGAAGCCGAAGCGGCTATTCCGAGACGGCGGCTCGGTGTTCTATTATGAGAATGACGACGATTTCTACTACGCTGAAGGGATATACGAGGGTAGCCGCCTGCCATGGGAACGGCCCCCTCGCGACCCGGACGCGACGTTCCTCGATTCCCTGAGCGCAGAGTACACGATGTTTCGTGATACGTTCGTCTATGTGTTGAGGAGCTGGATCCGGCTGCCGAACACACTCTTACATATCGGCACATCCGAAGGCTATCGTCTATGGAACTACTGGCTTGGCCTGCCGGTTCCTCCGCGCGAGTGGAAGATCCAGGTTCCCGGGAGACGGGCTGTTCCTGTTCCGGAGGACGAGAGGCATACCGATCTATGATTATGCATTTTGTGTCTGTCTGTATATAGGACCTCGCATTAAGGCGTTATTGGTTTGGGAGGTTGGTCGGTTTTATTGGATTGTTTTCGAAGGCATTGGAGAGAATTCGCATAGAATTCTATATACTAAATTCGATGAGTTTCTGCACCTATACTTCACATGCCCAGTTTAAAGCCACCCCAGTTCAAACGAGAAAACACCTTGTTCGGGTCATAAGCCGCCCGGATTTCGCGCATACGGTTGACGTTCTCCGCGGGAAACCCTGCAAAAGGATCTTGCCAGTCACCAGCATCACCCATGTAGACAAACTCCGATGCGATGCCCTTCTCCTGATTGATGGCGTGGAGGTGCTCGGTCAGCTGCTGAGACCAAGCTTCCACGCGGCGATCGTCCTGGGCGAGAGCCCATCCCGTGCTGAATTGCCAAACTGATAGAGTTCATTCGTTAGTCTACATGCTTGACAGACGTTGCATGGTTAGGATCAAAAAGGACTCGACTTACTCATCAAGGGCTCTGCTTGAAGACCCCAGACATTGCCAATGCCGTTGGTGTTGGCAACCCGCAGCGAGGAGGGAGTAATCTCGTTGAGCACGAAAGTCGGGTACAGGCCTTCGACATCGGAGATTTGCTCAACGGCAGCCTTCCATGCTTTGTATATGGAGAGGATGGTATCGGAGTCGGGCTTCATGGTCTTGTGAGAAAACATGACACTGGCAATAGGTTGTTAGTACATGAGAATGGATGAAGCAGCCGGGTGTGAAGTCAACATACCGGAACATTTGCTTCGGCGAGTCAAGCTTCGAAGACCACTTGCCCATTGTGGTGACGTTGTTCATCCGCATTGTGGCAGGAATGCTAAAGAAATCGGCAAACTTGGATGGCGGCATGCTAACGCCCTCCTGAACCCCAAGAAGCGAGGCCGACGCCACTTTCGTAGTCACATTATAGGAGATCGTTGCGATCATGCCCGCCGCGGTGGGATCTTCCTCGTCCACCACGGCAGATTTGCACATAGCATCGAAGAACTGGGGGAAGGCACTCTCGTTGAATATCTGGATGGTACTAGTAACTTTGGGGACATTGTAGGTCTTCAGAGTAAACTTGGTAACAACGCCGTAGTTATTGGCACCGCCCTTGAGTGCCCAGAACAGATCGGGATGTGAGTCCTTTGCAGCAGTGACTTGTGTGCCATTGCCAAGAACAACATCGTAGCTGATGACGTTGTCCATCGCGTATCCGTACTTGTTGTTGAAATAGTGGAAGCCCCCGATTAGAGTCAGGCCAGGAACGCCGATTGTTTTCATTCGGCCGCCAATGGCGACACGTCCGTGGGGTTCTAGGGCTGTGTATACATCGTACCAGGTCAGGCCGGGACCCACGTCGATCGAGTCCTCATTCACAGTGAATGAATTCAGGTTGCCCAAGGCCACGAGAACTCCACCGTCGATATTGTTTGATCCCGGATACTAAATGCGACGGTCAGATTACTATCCCATTCTACTAGCCTGTTATAACGACTCACGTTCATATGGCCACCACCGCGGACTGCAAACTGGGCATTGCACGAGCTAAAGATTTCAATGGCACTGGCCACTGCATCAGCCGTCTCAGGCACAAAGACGCATGCCGGGGACAGATCCGCTCGAACATCCCAATAGTAATCTGTAGTCTGTTCCGTGTAATTGGCTTGCCCTGGGAGAATCACATTCCTTGCAAAAGACCCCAGAAGCTCTCTGCATGCGCACTGTTCTTCCTTGGTGATCTCGATAGTGCCAGTAGGTGTGCTAATCGAGCCTGTTTGGACGGCCGAGGCACTGGAGCGAGCAGATGCATGACTCCAAAGAGAGATTCCAGCAAAGAAAAGAAGATTCATTTTGTCTTGAGCACAGATCATGATGAATTGACTTGAGAAATTTCGCACTCATCAGACAACAAAGGAGGATTTGATCGGACTTTAATAGCCATCGCGGTCGTGCCCGCTCTTCTTTCAGTATACGTACTAGGTGAGACTCAGGCCCATCGTCCTGTCCCGTTCTAGCATCGGGAATGGTGATCATCAGGACCGGCAATCAGATCATCATCGTCCGGCCGGTCGAATTCTATACACACGTGGACATTATGCCCATGCAGTCTCCACAAATAGGCTGCATCCCAGGTAGAAAGGTACACTTTGGATTCAGGCAACAGTAAATTGAGGTATATGGCCACTTTCATGGACAATTTCCATGGGCTGAACTTGATAGGTAGTAGCTAGCGGTTAAGATCAAAGGATGGTCATTGAATGCGGATCACACTCGTATTCGGGTTCGGATTTGGTCCTCATATCTAGCTCAGGACCCACAGCCCGTAGCTTGTACTGATATGTAGTGCCTTTTTCCCCAGAACGATTGCACACGTGCGATAGCTATATTTTTGCGCCAAACAAGTATATACGCGGCCACCTCATCCCTTCGAAGCTACGCTTCATTCATAATACGACACAGAGTCTTTGTTTACTAGCCACTTCTCGCGTGCCTGACGCAGCCGAATGCGGCGAGTGCGCGACCCAGAATATGTACAGGAAAGAACTTGCGACAGTTCGAAATGTCCATATTCCCCAATCGTATCGGTTGGAGAGGACGTATAACATCACCGACGTTAGAAGCGCTCTGTGATAACCTCACTGATCGGTTTACGAAATAATCACAGTATCTTGCTGTGCTATTAGGCTTCTACAAGAGGCTGACATTGCCTTTTCATAATTAATTACTTCCCAACTTTAGATTTGAAGAGTTCCTGCGCCAGATTACACAAGTACAACATCGCCCAATGGCACCGGAGATGGATTATTCAGGGTCCGTCCCGTATGGCCTAAATTCTCTGTCCGGATTTGCCACCACCAGCCACCGGCCAACGGGGACACCACCACCACGACGAAGACAAAAGACAACAATAAAAATAACAGAAAGCTCCAAATGATGGTAATAACAATGAAAACGAAATAAATAATAATCATCACGCTATAATCTCCTACCTTATGTACCGTTATGCACTACTTAGTTATGGTTTACTCGGTTAGTAATCTTTCCCCATATCCGTCCCTGTCTTCGGCCAGCCCCGACCTCGGCATCTCCCAGTCCGCCCACATGAAGCCCGATTTTCTCCTCTTCCTCAACCTCTCTCCGTCATCCGCTCCACTCTCCTCCATCTCTCCATCACTCCCTTCTCACCCCCTTCTCTCCTTTCATCCCCGACACTCGATGCCCGGTCGCTGATCGCTCCTCATGGCGTCGGTATCGCCACCAAAGCCGTGGGAAAGGGCTGGCGCTGCTACGGGTATGTCCCCATTTCCCGTCACCATGGTGGTGATAATACCCCGGACTCATCAACCCTCATGCTAATTCAAACGTAACTAGGAAACACACTCACGACCGCTCCCACCGCCGGCGCACCCACCTCAACCGCGATGACTACCACCAACCCAATCTCTTCCGCGGGAAACCCCACTGCCACCACATCATCAGCCGCGCCCGACCTTCCCTCCCGTCCCAGCACCCTCAACTCCGTCGTCAACAACACCGCCTCCAACTACTCGCCCTACGGTGCCTCGCGCTTCGGTGCTAGCCCCTACGGTGGTGGCTACGGCGGGATGGGTGGGATGGGCGGTTACTCATCACCGTATTCCCGGTTTGGATCAATGGGGTCCATGTACGGCGGGATGGGCGGTTATGGTGGTATGGGCGGGATGTATGGCGGCATGGGTGGAATGGGAGGCATGTATGGCGGCATGCCAGGCCAGGATCCTAATGATCCCAACAGTCTCACCAACTCATTCGGCCAGAGCACCCAGGCGACGTTCCAGATGATCGAGAGTATTGTCGGCGCGTTTGGGGGCTTTGCGCAGATGCTGGAGAGTACTTATATGGCTACACATTCATCTTTCTTCGGTATGTACACTTTCGTCTTTCCGGGTGCGAGAAGATATTGACGATTTTGCAGCCATGATCTCGGTCGCTGAGCAGTTCGGTAACCTGCGCAATACCCTCGGCTCGGCTCTGGGCATCTTTGCTATCATTCGGTGGTTCCGTACCCTGCTTGCCAAACTCACCGGCCGGCCTCCACCAGCAGACGCCACCTCCTTGACGCCGTCTGCCTTTGCAGCGTTCATGGGTGGTCGCTCCGCACCCGCCACTCTGCCCGACGGTAGCCCGGCACCGCCCAAGCCATCGAAGAAGCCATTTTTTATGTTCCTGGTCGCTGTGTTCGGCCTTCCTTATCTGATGAGCAAGCTCATCAAGGCCCTGGCCCGGTCACAGGAAGCCGAAGCCCGCCGCCGCCAACAACTCGTCGGCCCCAACGGCGAGCCACAGTCCGCAGCACTGGACCCCTCCAAACTCGACTTCTGCCGCGTGCTGTACGACTACACGCCCGAGTCACAGGACGCCAACGGCATTGACCTCGCCGTGGCCAAGGGCGACATCGTCGCCGTCCTCAGCAAATCAGATCCCATGGGCAACGCCTCGGAGTGGTGGCGCTGCCGCGCCCGCGACGGCCGCGTTGGCTACCTGCCCGGCCCATATCTGGAAACCATCCAGCGGCGCACCGCACAGCAGGCTATCACGACGGGCAGCGAGCCTGCCACCCGCACCAGCACGATGAAGGGCGATGGTGCCGTCGAAGGCCGCACCCAGAGCATGTCCTCGCTGCCCAAGCCCGGCAATGAGAAAAAGCCTGAGCTTAAGGGCAAGATGGGCGATATTTCGCCGGAGAGTTTCCAAAAGAGTACTTTCTACTCATAGACTGTCTTTCTCCGTTTCCTAACCTACTACCTATGGATCATTCATCTTTATATATCCCTACTTTTTTCAGGTTGTCACTGTTGGATTATTTCATTTTAGCGACGGTTTTGGTATTTTGTCTGTTTTCTTTGACTGTCACATGTACCTAGTGCCTACTTTTCACGGTGGATGGAATGGAATGGATGCAAGCCTTAATATTTCTCATTATAGAGGATACGCCCTCCGATTGGACAGGGGCCACTATTCCTATTTAGGCCAACTCAGCAGTACAGGATCCTGGCTACGATCTGTTTCCACGCATATCCACGGTCACCCGGCATACCTCTTATCTTACAATCCTCTTAAGTTCCATTCTTCTGGATCCGACAGTTCACTCCTCATGGTCGTGATCCCAAACGCGGTCACTGCAGCCTCGCAAAGCACAGATAGTGGGGATGACGTCACAGAGAAGGAACAGGCTGCAAAGACAATCCAGGTATCATTCCAGGGAACTCGTGATGATAACGGGGACTGACTGTAGATAGAGAATCTATCGTGGATATCGCACGAGACGAGAACTCAACGGCTTGGGATTATCGGCTAACGCCCGGTGGACGGAGGTATATATGTTTTTCTTGGTGGCTAAAAGAAAAGAGGATGAGAAGGGCTGATACTTGAGTGTTAGGTACTGAAAGATATTCATTGGACTCAGCTTCACGACCCGAAAAAGTCTGATGACATTTCCAATTCCAGCGAGAAGGGAAATGAAACCCCAGAAGCGCGCCAGAAATGGTACCGGGCCGTCAGCGTTGCCATGCAAGCCGGTAGCAACAATGACAACAACAACAACAACTCTAGCAAATCAGCCAAAGATCACAATCCAGATGACCAGCCTGTATCACGCCACGACATCCTACCCATTCAAACCTCCAAACAAATGGATCTCCAGTACTTCCTAGAAATGGTGGACCTCAAACACAGACACGGCAGCAATCTGCGCGCCTACCACGCAGAATGGAAGAAATGCCCAACGACCCAGAACTTTTTTTACTGGCTGGATTATGGGGATGGACGAGATATCAACTTGGAGAAGCGTCCCCGGGAACGGCTTGAACGGGAGCAGGTGAGGTATTTGTCTCGTGAGGAGCGGAGGAAGTATCTTGTCAGCGTGGATAGGGCGGGACTGTTAAGATGGGCGAAGAATGGGGAGCTTGTTACTACGGATGGGAACCGGTTTAGGGATTCTTTGGAAGGAGTTGTCCCTGTTGATGATCCGGCGCCCCGGTTTATGGGGAACGAAAGAGCGGAAACGTCCTCGGATTCATCGTCAGCGTCAGCGGAGGCAGAAAGTCAGGATGTGACTGGAGCAAAGCATACTTCTGGAAAGCAGGGAGAGAAGAAACTACGCTCGAAATTGGCTCATCCAGCAGCCATACTCAGTCACCTTGTTGGCAAGCCATCAACAACCGAAGAGTGGATCTTTGTACCTATACCCTCAAAACCAATCATCCACAAGAGCTAATACCCAATAATCCAGGTCGCAGACACAGCATTCAGACTATACATCGGGATAAAAGACTCAGGTACATTCCAACACTCCTCCTTCCTCCGCGGAGGCCGCATCTCCGCAGCGGGGACAATCAAAGTCCATGAAGGCCAGCTACGCAGCCTGAAACCGTTAAGGTTTAGTATCCTCTTCATCACCACCTCCATTTGCTTAATCAATACTGATTGTGATTGGTTTAACTAGTGGGCACTATCAACCGGCAGCCGCCAATTTCCGCGCTTTCAGTCACGCCCTCCAGAATCAGGGCGTTGATATGTCCCGCGTGTCGATGAGTAAATCCTATGCTATGCTCGCGGGCATTGCCGGGTATTCGAGGACGAGACGGAAGGTAAGGGGGTTGCAGGATACGGTTCAGAAACAAGGGCAGGGCCAGGAAGTGGAAGGGCGAGGAGGGCATGGCTCTTAATGGTGTATGTGAATGTGGTAAACCGCATTGTTTTGAATGCTACTTCATGAGATAGATGATTCTACACATTTATAATATGATACATATCCGGAGTCTTTTGCATAAAGAGCTTTGTTAAATTGTTACTAGCGGAGCGCTCAAACATACAAGTTAAAATGTAAAAGGCACGGAGATACAGGGAAGTGCAAAACCAGTACCTAGAAGTATAGAATGACTTGATGACGATGATGGAATCTAGAGGAAGCATATAGCCTGTTCTACGAAAGGAACAAGTCCCAACAAAAGTTTCTGCCTCTGCCATGTCCTCATTATGCAAAGGGATCAGAAAAAGGGAAAGGAAGAAAACTAAAAGTAATTAACGCCTGTTATACTCGAAATGCTATGAAGGAAATACGACTTGACTCGTGTCCCAGGGTCAGCCGCTATGTGGGAGTGCAGTGCTGTCAGGCAGGTCTGACAGCCGAGAAAATTATTCCCAGAGCCCAAACTAGTAGCCCTTTAGGTGAATAAGGGTGATCTGTTTTCGACTAGGCCTATAAGATCTACCGCGTGCAAAAACCAATTTAATATCATAGGATACCGACATATAGATATTTTCTTTTCGTGCGTGGCGCAATAACTCGAGATCTACTCCATCGCCGGCACAGCCAGTCTAAACACATTGTCCGGATCAAACCTGGACTTCAGGCTCCTTAGCATCTCCACATTCGACCCATACGCCTTTTTGAGAACCGCGTCCGACGTTCCCGCCCGAGCACTACTATATACGGACAAATATGTCGTGGGCAGGACGTTATCTGGATCAGCCTCTTCAATCTCCTTTGCCGTCTGTAGCGCCCACGCTTCCGATTCCTCCTTCCTTCTCTCCTCTGTCACATATCCCAGAATCTCAAGCATGTAGTGCGGCTCACGCGTTACGAAGACAGAGGAATGATCCTGCGGCGCTGCTGATGGCCCGCGCAGCTGATGAATGGAAAACATAGTGGCCGGATCAGTGGGCATACGCTCGAGGTTACGGCCAATTGTCTCAGCAACGGCTGGCAGGATGCGGCTGATGTTGTGCGTCGCGCTGGAGCCAAAGACGTCTGCTGGGACCAAGGCACCGTTGTGGCCGAACCACTCTGGGATGGTGGTGAGGGCAACAGTATTCATAAGTAGAGGAGCTAGGCCAGCGACTTTTGCGCTCCAGCGCTGGCCCTCGTCTATATCAGAGCCACTCCATACGAAGATGACGCCAAAACAGCGGCCAGGTGGGGCATTCACGGCTATTTGCTGGATGGTCAGTTGCGGAGGGAGACCTTCGGAGTCGAGGATTTTTCCGTAGGCAGCATTAAAGTCCACAAAGGTCTTGGAGATATCAGTGGAGTCGTAAATAATGGTGCCAGCGAGGAGCTTTGGATTATTAGTGCCGAAGCGAATAAGAGGGCGAATAATGGCGATACTTACGCTATTCAGAGGATAGACTTTGATAGTAAGATCAACGATTACACCAAACAGACCCCCAGCGCCGCGGATGCCTTGTAGGAGGGTTTCATCAGCTGTGATAATCTCCCCATCGGGATTGATCACGGTGGCGCCGACAATCTGGTCAGTTCCCAAACCCCATTGCGAGGAGAAGGGCCCATAACCGCCATATATGGCCCAACCAACGTAACCTACACTTGGGGTAGCTCCTGTTGGGGTGACCAGGCCCTCTTCCCAAAGCTTGCTTCCGAGCTCTTCAAGAAGAATGCCACCTTGGACCAAGGCGGTTTTCCGATCCGATGCGATAGTAACTGCTTTCAAGGCACGCAGATCAATGAGCAGGGCATTTTCAACCACCGAGCGGCCTTCCAAGTTATGGCCGCCTGAACGTAGTGTGAAAGGGACAGAATTGAACTTGGCGAACTTAATAATGGCGACGATGTCAGAGGGCGATTGCGGCTGAACTACAGCTAGTGGATTGTCGAGACGAGCGTTGTTCCAGACTTTGCGGGCGGAAGCGTACTCCGGAGATGAAGGTGGGGTGTACTTGATAGTGGGATGGTCTTGGAGGAAGGCTTCTAGGGCGCTTAGTTGGGCGGAAGATGCCATTTAGATAAAGGCAACGATTGTAATAGTGGCTGGAGTATTATTGTTTGATGTTGGAGTGGTAAAAGTAGATCCTACTTATACGTGGCACTGGGGCCAAAATACTGGTACCGTCATGCATCAGCTATAGCTAGATTAGTTGGAACCGAAGATCAGTTAGGCCGGAAACAGCTGCGCCTGCTTACCAACATTTGCTTCTGATGGTCTAGCCAGTGTGGGACGCCTAATTGGCTGTCCAACATCACCATTGCCGGCATTCGGAGTAAGCTTCTCGGAAGAACTATGATCATGGTAATAATTAGCAACCCACTATCGGTCGGTAGAAATTTAAACAAAAAAGAGAGACAATGTTTTCGACTACTAGATAGCTACTTCAATACAGAGATCATGCAGTTAATCACATGAGCTACTAAGTAAAGCTATAGTGGATGGGCCCATATACAGTGTCAACGTCCACTTTTAAAAGAATTCCAAGATAGCTTCGTGGTGGTCACAATCTACGAAATGCAAGCAGTGAACGAAGCAGATGGATAGTACACCAAATACTAGGTAGTTTTGTATGTAACCGTGTGTCTTTTTAATTGACATTTATTTTCATTATACACTAGCATGCCAAGCCATGCTAGCGCTGACTCCGAAACAACCCCCTCGAACAGCGGTCAGCTCCCACAGATCATCAACATCCCAATGCTTTATGTTTCATCCTCTCGCCATTACTAGATTGAACGCTCTGCCGTATACCTGTCTGTATATCTGTGCGATGGGCTCCCAGGCCTTTCGGGTCTGATGTAGCCAGGGCCAGCTCGATTGAGAAACAAACAGATAAATCCCGACATGCTTTCTTTACCTATCAGAATCAATATGCTCCCTGTCAGAATAGGAAGCCAATCGGGGCGTAGAATAGTCAAAGCCACAATATTGTAGTATTCGATATGGAACACCCTTAAATGTGGCGAGGCAAAGGTGACTTCATCACAATGAAAACTATCCCTTCGTGGAACCTAAGTCTTGCTCTAGTTGACGATTACATTTTCCAAGTCTCTATCCCGCACGAGTAGGAGCAGTCTCGGAGCAAAACATCTCGCGAAGACACCTGAATCGGCAGACTCCCTCCGAACGACGGTGGGAAACGAAAGCAACACATCATCCTCGGAGACTTCAACATCCAACGACACCCTCTGGCCCAGACATAGCACGCACCCAAGGCCTCAGCACAACTTTGAAAGGCAGAATAGCTCAAAACTATGTCTAAACGCCGACCTCTGGCGGTGGTGACCCCGGCCGGCCCAGTCACACCAGGATACCTGACTCATGTATAATGTTCAAGTATTGCGGGAATTGAAGCATATCATATCAAAATCATCCGTGTCTCGATTTAGAGCGCATATACTTTTCAAAAATATGTATCCCTTTGAACCTTCGAAGTCGCGTGTAACTTCACTATTGGTTGTTGAACGAAGCTATTTCAATCAGCATCTTCTAGGGTCCTTTGTTCTAATAAAGGTTATTTGGGAAAACGGCACACCTAAGCCCTTCCAAGGGATGTAAAAAAATCCGTATTTGGAATCTACTGCATGTAGCTATTGTCAGAATTGAGACTAGTGGAGCGCACAAGGGGTTCAGAGTAAAAAGGTACGGAGATAGAGTTAACTGTCAGAAATAGCGTTTGACGTTCCGTGAACGAGTGGATCGCGTATTTGCACCTACTATACACCGCGTAAAGCAGCCCCAAACTCAAGAGCCCGGACTCTAGTTCAAGCCACAATTTAGCCAAATATACGGCGAAAGCTCGGAGCCGCAGCCGGAGCCGGAGTCGCCGATAGATAATAGACGGGGATATAATAATAGTAGTAGTGTCGGATGAGTCAGACGCAGAGACAGACGTTCCGGCCCCAATTCCGACCACAGTGGCTGTCGCAGCCAGTACATGTAAATAGAAATAAATAAATAACAGCGGATATATGATGCTGATGCATGCATGCACAAGAAAAAGAACAGACCAGAACGATAAAAGGCAGAGACAAGGTCAGGTCATAGTCGAGGAAGAAGAGTAAGCGCCATGATCACACGCAACGAAGCGAACGACCAGAAAAACAATAAATATCCCAGTCTAGTAGTGCTCGGACCAAAGCCGGTTTAATCGATGAAACGCCCATGCTATGACTTTATTTCCCACATCTTTGAATGCGTGTGCCGTAAGGCGACAAAGAAGGCTCCCAGAAAAAGACAGAAAAAAGAGAGCCTGGACGGCTCGGAAGAGGCAATGTACAAGGAAAGGTAAAGGTTGACAAAGAAGGAAACGAAATCACATTCCCAGTCCCTCGTGGCCGTTATGGCCGTTATGGCCGAATTCATGGTTGGGATCGTTCTCGCGTGCCCATTTGGACATGGTTAGGTCGAGAGTTTGTTGGAGGCCCTCGAGACGAGTCTGGAATGATTCAAGCCGATTCCATTCTTCGGGATGTGTCTCGGGTTCGCCCTCGGCATCCTCGTCGGAACCGAGTGCCGCTGCTGCTGTTGGCGTTCGTGGAGCCGCTACTGGCGGTTGTGATGTTTGGAGCAATGAAGGATAAGAACGGCGGGATGGGTGCATGGATAGTGGTGGGAGGCTTTGGTCGTCGCCCATGAACTGGTCGGGAAGGGAGTCAAGACGGGGTTGGGTTGGTAGATACGGGTCTGGAGGAGAGGTTAGTTCTGACCACGCACAAAGGGCTGATCCAAATACCAAAATCGAACGAACACGATCCCATCTCCCGAGGAGTGGGCGAGTGCATCTCGGTCATTGGGGAGATGGGCGCTGACGACTCCTCCGCTGGTTCAGGGGTGAAATATGTCATATCAGACGGGGTTTCTATACCAGAATGAGTGGATTGCTTCCAAAACCAGAGACCTAACCCACCCGGCTCTGGACTCAGCTTCTCGGCGGGTGTCTTTTGCACATGATTCCACACATCCGGGTACCGACGGCCGAATCTAGTGATGCGCTTCTTGTCGACGACTTGACCGTGCAGCCGAAAAGCCGTCTGCTTGCCCTGGGCGGCGCGCCTCTTTTGCTTGCGGAGCATGACGTGGACTTCTTTCTGTTTCAGGTTCTTGCGGAGATTCCACTCGGCGAAGCGGTCTTTATACTGTTTTTCTCTGATCTAGCAGTTAGGCGCGGGCCATGTTGGCGAGGAAGACAATAATTACGAGGCGTAGAAATTGTAATCCCGCTCCATGATGCGTTTCACATCGCGCAGTTTCAGCTGGTCGTTTCGGTAGAGTTGCTCGATCGTCTCGCGGTAGTTCTGCCAGTCTTCCGACCGGCGGGGGCGGAAGATGGACGATGAATTCGGGAGTGGAGGAGACTGAGGCGACAGCGTGAGGGACGCCGGTCCTGGATGAGGGTCCATGGTTCGGGGGTGGTTGTATCTATCTGGCCCTCCACGGATGATGATATACATCTGAAGGGTCCAGCTCCTCCCAATAATAAGCAGAAGAATGCGCCATCAGCATAGTCAGGCAACCTCCGATCTCGACGCTTGGGCCAGGAATCTCGACTTCTCTTTGCGGCGAGCTGCACCGGACGCACGAACCCCTGCTTCCGCGGGCGAATCAAAGGAATGGCGAAGTGGATTCATCGTCGCTGGTGATCATCAAACGGCGGCGCACGGGGAGAATATCTCCGCAGTCTGCGAGTCCAGCAGAGCGAGGGTCTGGCCCGGGTTCCAAAAGTACCCAAGCGCTACAGTGCGGCGCTATTTCCATAACATGCAGCGCACTGGCCAGGGGGATGCATTTTCCGCTGCCTCTTTGTCCTACCCCCATGCGAGGGCCGACCGCTTAGCCACTCCTAACTGGGCAGGAGTCTCTCATCCCCTCTGGACGGTCGATGCCTCGTGCATGTCGGGAGCGGGCCGAAACTTCCTGACAGGAATCAAGACGCCACGATCCCGAGAGATGGGATGCGAAGGTCTGAAGACGGCGACGGTCATGGACCCGATGGATCGTTGGAACCCATGCTGCTGTCAAAAAAAAGCCAGTCCCACCCGTGGACGGTCACTCCGGCCCCCTTGTTCTTACTCGGACATTCCTGCTTACGCTTACCAAAGTCAAAGGTACAACGGGTCATATCATTTCCTCTTAGGCCGGAACTTCCTCGCTTCCCCCTGGGCCGGCCCATGCACGTCAGGCGCCACCAGAGACTCTTTCTTTCTTGGGCGATGCTGCAGTGATCGACGCGGGCGGTCGACGCGGACACCTTCCGGCCAAAGGTACTGGGCACCAACGGTACTTTTCGGCAGTCAAGAGAAAGTACAATCGGTTACTACTACGTACTAGTCACTCCTGCGTGCAGATGCGATATACGCTAGTGCCCATCTGGTTCCCGTGCGGAGATCGCGTCCTCCTTTAGAACTGACGATGGCCAGGGATGGTACAGACAGAGTCTGGACAAAGATCCTTCCCGCGTGGGTCAAAGGCCCACCAGAAACCGGGCGGGCGCCCGTCGAGATCTCGCGGAGAAAGCTGCCAGTGCCTCTTCCATACGTCCACGGACCACCGTTCACCGGGTCGGCTCGCCTGCAGGTACTAGGATGTGAGTCGCACGCCCGGTCGAGGACGATTGATCGTCGCATGGCACACACCTCTTCCCCACTTCCAACGATCCTGGCGTCAAAGAACAACCATTCGGCTGAGGGCTGGGTAAGCAAAGGGGAGAGACCGTTCCGACCCACACGCGAATGCGGTGCGAAACCGATCAGCCCCGAAAGGGGTTGTCGCAGATTAACATGCGGCGTCAGGGGGTTGACATTTCAAGCTCGACCTTTGGCAGAGGAGGCGGTCGGCTGGCGAACCTGGTCGGCGGCTGCCACGGCTGCAGCCGCAACAGCGGCGGAGTTGCCGGAACTGGTACTGGCGACATTGCTCGCGTGCGCCAGCAGGAACTTGCAGCACGTTAGGGTGTACTTGCAGGCGCGCGTCCACGTTTCATCGTTCTGGTTGAACCCCAGTTTGATGCTGGCATCGCCAATACGGTCCCGCTTAATCTCGTAGGGCAGCTTCAGACCCGGAGCGGTGGCGGCGGCCTGGCCGCGCCGTGGGGAGGCTACCGTGGTAGGGGTTGATTCGACGAACTGGCCCAGCTGGCGCAGACACTCGAGGAACGCCACCATGCCCGCATCAAAGCGACGGTGGAGCCAAGGGAGATTGAGTGGCAGATCACCCGAAGAAAAAAGTTCCAACTGCGTGATTTTTGGGCTGTCAGTGTCGGGCTGACTCGCAGACTGCTGCGGGTACTCGATCTTGTCAATCCGCGAGGTGGACCCTAGGGGTCTGATTCGGTAACCCTGAAACTGAAAACCAAGACGCTCCGCAATCGTGGCCAGGAGCAGCGCCGTTTGGCCCCATGCAGCGTTGATCTCCGGCCATTCCACAGACGGGTTGGCCAATCTGCCCAAGCGTAGTCCATTGATCGTGCCGAAATATCCATCATGACCGATGCAAAACGCGTCATTGTAGACATTCGTCCGTTGTAGTCGTTCGAGCTGCTGGGAGTCGTGGTCGTAGCGCATGTTCAGCGCATCCCGCTCGTTTTGGAATTCAGAGAGCGTCAAGGCAAAGCCGTTGCGATCCCGCCAGAAGGTCTCTTCCTCCACATCCAACTGCCGTGATTCTTCTTCCAGGGCTGCAATCTCCTCGTCCAACGCTGCCTTCTCTCGTTCCAAGCTTTCAAGCTCGGCAAAGCCCGCTTCTTCTGCTTCCAGACTCTCCTTCAACGCTTTCTCTGCGGCCTCGAGCTCCTCGGTGGTGGGCACAGATGCATTCAAGTTGCGCAGAAACGAGATGTACGCATCCCTCTCTTTCGTCGCGCCCGTCAGTCTTTTTTGGAGTGCCTCCACCAGCATCTCTGTACATTCCACGCAGATCGGGTGGTCAATATCTGAGCGCGCCGAGATAATCTCAAAGAGACGGGTCGATTTCTCCACCTGATCCGAGTAGGACACATCTTCCTGCTGCGTCTGTACACTGCTCGTTCGTTTGGTTCGACCGGGTCGCGAGGGAGTGTCTGCCGGTGGCACGACTTGGGATTCTGTAAGCATCACGAATGACATGTTCCCGCTGTCCCCGCGCGGCATCCCCGGCGGGTTGGACTGGCTGCCGGCGCGCGGGGCCGGGATGGATCGTCTGTAGACGGGCGATACCGCTTGTTTGGATACTCTATCGTAGAGCTCACGTCGCTCGGGTGGGTAGGATGGGCGGGCTGGTGATGGGCCATGCTCGGGGACGGTCTTGCCTGTCGAGTCTATGAAACTCTTAGTAGCTATTCAAAACTTCAGGTGAAGCTTCACTTACTGACGAGCAAGTCAAAAGCCGCTGGGTTGAGCGACTCTAGCGAGCCGTCTAGCCGTAGTGGTGTGCGACACTTCTGGCAATACATGATGATGTGATGTGATCGGGTTGATGATAAGGCGAAGTTGGGGAAGGCGGGATCGGCGTTTGTTTGTCTCATGAGTTTCTTCTCCCTGCGACAAACAACACAAAACAACTTCAGCACACCACTTCCTCCTTCCTTCTTCCCTCGATGTAGCAACACTCCTTTCCTTTCTGGACATCCCTTCTCTCAACATGGGCGACGCCCAGGGGAGACCAGCCAAACGCCCGCGTCTCTCTTTCACCCCCGGCTCTCCCTCTCCAGACGAAGTCCCGGTAGACTTCGACCTCTCCACCGCACGCGCGCAAAATGACCAGAGACTCAAGTCGATCTTCGAGGGAATATTTGACAAATACGGCAAGGACTTCACCGAAGTAGGCGATGAGATTGACTTGGAAACGGGCAAGATAGTGATCAACAATGGCCATCTAGTTGGGATGCGCGCTGAGGACGATCCGGGTGACCAGGCGCAGGAGTGGCTCTTCCATGATGCTATCTCGGGTTTCGAATATACGGGTGATGACGACCCAGAGGCTCGAAGCTTGGAAGAGGGCGAGAATGAACGGGACCTGGAGACGGAGACTGGCGATGCGCCGTCCCATTTTGCGCAAGAAGCTGCAGACTCTGACGACGACCGAGAAAGTGCCGACTCGCTGTGGGACTCTGCGCTGGCATACAAAGACACAACTGCCCCAGATAGTCCTATCATTTCTCAAGATTTTAGGCCCAAGGACCCCCTCTGGCAAGTCCCGGATATCGATGCCAAGTTCTCGACACCCACCACGACCAAACGAGTTCATTTTGCTCCTGTTCTAAACACTCCTCGCTCTGCCTCTCCACCTGGCGCAGGCTCCTTATGGAGTCTTCCTAAACGAGGTAGACCGCGTACCGATGGGAGACCCAAGACGACACCGAGCAAGCGCAAGCCACGAGCAAAGCGCAATCGTGACTGGTCCTTTGCACAGACACCGGATGCTGACAGCAGCGAATCCGATGATCCGTTGCAGGAGAACCAGGCCTCACCGACGCCTTCAAAATTGATCAATATCAGAGGAGGGGAGATGCTGAAAGCCGGTCGTGCGCAGACCAGCGGGCAGGCGTTCGATCTCGACAAACCAACCGCTGCATCCGAAGATGAAAAACCAGATACACACAACATTGTGACATTGGAAGCGCCTACTGTACATGACAATACTCCTATCCGTCAACAAGCCGAGACCGTTCCCGCTCAACCTCTAGCAACAACCCCAAGCACACCCAAGCGCGGCGTGACGCCCGACGCAGCAAGGCAGACCGTGCGCATGCGACACATTCATGGCCGAAAATGGAAACAGATTAGTGATTCGCTGCCGGGGTTTACTTGGACGCAGCTCTACGTTTGGAACCAACGGTACTGGACCGAGCGCCGGGCAAACCCGCCTCTTCTTTCTGCGCCGTGGTCACAGACAGAGCAAGAGACGCTGGCTTGGTTAAAGGACCAGCGCGGTCTTTCTTGGGCGGAAATCCATACTGAATTCCCAAAGCGCTCGTTACCCGAGATCCAATTCGAATTGCTGCGTCTCTGGGTTGGGGATGCTGTTTGGAATGACGAGGGCATGGAGAATTCTGCAGTGGATGAGCAGGAGCAGGACCAGCCTAAACCCAGGAAGCCTGCAAGCGAGACGCTCAAGCCTTCTACCGACCAGGTTCCATCGTTTTCTCAGCGCCTTCGGAACGTGCCAGATGCTCAAATGCGCAAACCGTTGAAACCAGTCGGCGCCAGAGAGCATCCTCCAAATCGAGACCGGAAGATGCAGGACGAATTCGCGAAGCTCGTCGAGGATGATGAAGACGACATCGTGGTCATCTCCAGCCAAGCATCCTCACCTTCCAAGCTGTCGGCAATCCACCTCGACAGTCCTGCTCGCAGCCGCATCGCCTCAAAATCCCCCGGGCGCCCATCGCCCGCGAAGCGTATGAAGATGACGCTTTAGTTTAGCCCAAGAGCAATGGTATCATCACACCACATGCACAATGTATGTAATAGGATCACTGAAAATCCTCATCGCGCGCATTCAAGACGTCTTCCAGCTTCGTATCAACCGCGCCACCCACATCCCCAGCCGTAGCCCAGAACCGCGACAGATGCCGCGACCCCGAGTCCGAGAGCACCGTGACAATCCGGTGTCCGGGGCCGAGTTTCATGGCTGTTTTGACGGCCGCAATACCTGGAAAGGACAAGTTAGACAAGAAAGACCCGACGGCAACCAAGAGAAAACCCACAGTTGACCGCACTACTACTTCCAATAAAAATCCCATCCTTCTCAACAAGCCATCGCGCCATAGCCAGCGCCTGTGCATCCGTCACGCGCACAGCATCATCAACGAGGTCCTTCCCAGCCTCAAAGTTCGCCGTAACTCGATTGATCCCAATCCCTTCAACGATAGTATCAACCTGCGGTCTTCGCCGCGTGCCCTCCCGCTCCTTAAGATCAAACATCACACCATATCTCACCCGATTATACAGCCCACTACCCTGTGGGTCAGCCAGCACGACCGTGATATGCGGCAAGAGAGGCTTCAAGTAGCGTGCCACGCCGGCGATGGTCCCTCCTGTCCCGGCACCGGCAACGAAGGCGTCCATATGTCCATTGCATTGGGTGTACAGCTCGGGTCCGGTACCGCGGTAGTGCGCGCGCCAGTTGGCTTCGTTTTCGAACTGATCCGCGAAGAAGCCGCGGCTTGTCCCTGATGCTGTGTGGGCGTGTGCGAGGGCGCGGGCTTTGTTGACGAAGTTGTCTTTTTCGACGATTGGGGCTGGCGGCACACGGTCGACGATTGCGCCGAGTTTGAGGAGAAGGTTGGATTTTTCGATTGCTTGGTCGGAGGGCATGCATCTATACGGTTCAGTTAGTAGGAGAGTGGGCAGGGTAGAGAATGTGAGGGCTTACATGTGTGCGAGGTAGCCCTTTGCCCGGGCTAGGGTAGCTAGTGAAATGCCGGTCGATCCTGAGGTGCCTTCGTAGATGGTGTCGCCCGAATGGGGAGCGAGTATACCATGTTCCTCTGCCTGGATTCAAGTTAGAAACAGTATGGCTGGATGTCAATGCGGCCGTACCATTTCAATCATGCTTAGTGCGACCCGGTCTTTCGAGCTCTGTCCTGCGCCATTGAGAAACTGGTTTCCGTTGTCAGCTTTGTTGTAGTGGCAATAGAATGGGATACACACCTCTGCTTTGCCCAGGATCTCACATCCTGTTTCCTCGGAAAGCGACTTGATCCGAAGGAGCGGCGTGTTCCCGATACAGCCCTCAATGCCCTCTACAATGGCCGGAGGACCAGCTCGCGCAGTTGGCTCCGACTTGTCTGCAGTACTCTCGGTCTCGCGATGACTCGGTGCAATGAAGTCGCGATATACAATTGCAAGACAGACACCAGCCACAAAGGCAGTGCCAATATAGACCGGCGAGTCTGGCATGGTTGGTTGGTGAAGCAAGAAAGTCAAAAGTGATGCAGTTCACTAAGAAGCTCGGGCCAAGTTCTGCGGTCCCTTTCTTTCTCCCTCTTCCTTCCCACGCTTCTTGTCTCTCAGCGCCCACCCACCAACAATGGACTCGCCCGTCCTCACCCAGCTGTTCCGTCAGCTCTTCCGCCATCCGGCCTGCCAGTCTCTGCGCCGGCAACCCCCGTCGCTGTCGCGCGCGCAGTCCCGCTCGTTTCTCACGCGACGCACCCCGAACAAACGCAAATCGCAGGACGATGGCATGCTGTGGACGAAACGGGGGGACATCCCCAAGGATATCGACAAGGAATACTGGTCATACCCGACAGTCACAGCCAAGGAGCTGCGCAATCGGAGAGAGCGGCCGCGGCAAGTGAAGATGCTGACGCGCGAGTTCATCGACGGTGAGTTGAACGGCCACTGGTCGTGTGCGCGCTGGACGCTGACATATTCTTTTAATTTTTTTCAGACAGTCTCTACAATCCGCATTACGGATACTTCTCCAAACACGCAACGATCTTCAGCCCCGGTGAGCCATTCGACTTCAACAATATCGAGGACGGGCCGGCCTTCCTCCGGCTACTGGGCCAGCGATACATCGAGTTCGAGGATAAGCTGGACGAAACAACACCGGATATAGCACGGCAGCTATGGCACACGCCCACAGAATTGTTCCGGCCGTATTATGGCGAGACGATTGCGCGGTACCTGGTGTCGAACTACAAACTGACGCTGTATCCGTACCACGACCTGATCATATACGAGATGGGTGCGGGCAATGGCACGATGATGTTGAATATCTTGGATTTCATCCGGGATACGGATTTTGAAGTGTATCAGCGCACGAAGTTCAAGATCATTGAGATCTCGCCTGCACTGGCGGACTTGCAGTACAAAAACTTGTTGGATAGCGTCAATGCGGCAGGTCATCGGGACCACGTCGAGATCATCAATCGGTCCATCTTTGATTGGGATACATACGTGCACTCGCCATGCTTTTTCCTGGCGTTGGAAGTATTCGACAATTTTGGGCATGACTCGGTGCGCTATAACTGCCGCACCGAAGCGCCCCAGCAAGGCGGCGTCCTCATCGATGCAGATGGGGAGTTCCATGAATTTTACAACATGCAACTAGATCCCGTTGCCGCGCGGTTCCTGCGTGTGCGCCAAGCGGCGGCACGCCAGCCGTTCCCTAACCCCTTGGGACCGCGTGTGTTGCGTGGCCTGCGCAATGCCGGACCCTTCAGCAAGGAATTCAGTCAGCCGGAATATATTCCTACCCGACTGATGCAGTTCTTCGACGTTCTGAACCAATTCTTCCCGGCGCATCGGCTGGTAGCTAGCGACTTCAGTTCCTTGCCCGATGCGGTGCCCGGTCTCAATGCACCAGTCGTGCAAACGCGGTACCAGCGGAAGACTGTTCCTGTAACCACTCCATTCGTATGTCTCCGAATCCCCTTTTGGACATTTCCCCCCTCCCTACCCTGACTGACTCTTGCGTACAGGTCCACCAAGGCTACTTTGACATCTTCTTCCCCACAGACTTCAACACGGTTGAGGACATCTACCGCGCTGTGACGGGCAAATTGACCAAGGTGACGAGCCATGAGGACTTTGTGCACCACTGGGCGTACATCGAGGACACGGAGACGCGGAATGGAGAGAATCCGCTGCTGAGCTGGTATAAGAATGCCAGCATGCTGTTGACGGTGTAAATAGTGGACACCCAAGGTGTCTTGTAACTATATCTATCACATTAGGTATCCATGATGGGATTACGGAGACTCCCTTATACCCCGTATGCATCTACATTTAGTCAAATGATAGCAGAGATAAGAAGAGATCTCGCCATAGCTGTACTCTACCCAATGTCTTATCCCTTCGGCGGGCTTCTCCGCACAGTCAGCCCCCCACGGAAGAATCCCGAGGTGCCGATCACAGGCGAGGGGGAACTATACGTTAAGCGTCGAATGATAAGTACCCATTCCCTATCTCTCCCTACCTCCCGTCCATCTTCCATTTCATCATCTGTAAATCCCCCGAACATGACAATCGACGCCACCATGCCGCACTGGAAACCCCACGTTCACCGCAAACGCGCCGCCCAGCACGAATGCATCCCGCCCGCTTGGCTCCTCCCCGCCTCGGTCCTGGCCAACCCACCTTCAAACAGCGTGGACGCCATCCGCGCCAGCGGAATTCTCACTGCGGATGAGCTAGCCTGGACGGATACGACCAATATCCAGGACCTTGTGGCCCTAGTCGCGAGTGGGAAAGTCAGTAGCGAGCAGCTCACGACAGCATTCTGTAAGCGCGCGGCGATCGCGCAGCAACTGACCAAATGCTTGACGGAGATCTTTTTTGAGAGGGCTCTTACTCGGGCTCGAGAGTTGGATGAGCACCTTCGGACGACGGGGCAGGTGGTTGGGCCCTTGCATGGTGTGCCGGTTTCTATTAAGGATCGTTTTGATATTGAGGGGGTCGATAGTACTGTCGGTATGTACGGAACAATGCTCTTCAGTGGAATATTCACTAATTATCTGTTAGGATGGGTCGGACTCGTCAATAAACCGGCGCAGTCATCCAGCTCGATCGTGCAGCTGCTGGAATCTATGGGTGCCGTGTTATACGTCAAGACGAACGTGCCGCAGTCTCTGATGGTAAATAGTACCGTCAACTATATTATCCGCGGTCCTTTTACTGATTTGGTAGATGTCCGACTCCTATAATCACGTCTTCGGGCAATCTCTGAACGCTTTCAACCGTGCCCTTATCTCTGGCGGTAGTTCCGGCGGCGAAGGAGCTCTCGTCGCAGCCGGTGGTAGCGTCCTGGGTATCGGCACGGATATCGGTGGCTCGATTCGTATCCCTGCTGCACTGCAGGGGTTATATTCTATTAAGCCGACGAGAGGAAGGGTGTCGTGGGATTGTTCCTTGTAAGCCACCCCTTCCCCTCCCCCCAGATGGGTTTACTTTGGGACTTAATATTTACGCGTCTTCTACAGTTTGAATCAGTTCTACATGGTCCCACCAGTCGCAGGGCCGATGGCTACGTCTCTTGAGACGACGGAGTATTTTATGGACCATCTACTCGCTTCACAGCCGTGGAGGATCGACCCAGGCGCTATTCCCATTCCATGGAGGAAGGAGCTGGCTGCCTTTCCCACAGACCGTAAGCTGCGACTAGGTGTTGTATTTGATGACGGAGTGGTCAGACCTCAGCCGCCAGTTATGCGAGCGATGCGTGAGACTGTTCAGGCGTTGCGCGATGCCGGCCATGAAGGTATGTCCTCACTCCCTCCTTTTTCTCTTCTCTGACACGATGCTCCAGTCATCGAGTGGGACGCCTCACTCCACAAGCAAGGCACAGATCTCTGGACGAAATCCATTCTCGCTGACGGCGGCCGTCACTGTCAACACTTGTGTGAGATCGTGGGCGAGCCTTTGATCGAGGGTATGGTCGTAGGCACAGAGAAAGATCTACTGAATACTGAAGAGAGGGAGAAGGTAAAATCCCCACCATTATATATACATAGTTGTTAGGTTCTATACTGACTGATATATAAAGCTCGAGAAAGAAAAAGTCGCCTTCGAAACCACCTTCCTAAACCAATGGGTCACATCCCGCGTCGACGCCCTGCTAATGCCCGTGCAGCCCTGGGTAGGCTACAAGCCCAAGACATGGGTGAAGAGCAACCAGTGGTTGGGGTACACAGCTATGTGGAACATGTTGGACTACGCGGCTCTCACGGTTCCGATTGGGGCGGCACAACGGAACCTTGATTCTGTCGGTGATGGGGCGGATGCTGAGTGGGAGGCGCATCAAGTCAGGAATGAGAGTGATCGGTTTAATTATGAGCAGTGTAAGTTTTGCCCCAGATATAGGTGTTTGACGTGCTAACTTCTTATTTAGATGATATTGATCTCGTTGATGGAATGCCAATCTGTGTGCAGATTGTAGGGGAGAGATTCGGTGAGGAGAAGGCCATGGCGGTTGCGAAAGTGGTGGATAGACTGGTGAATGTGAAGTGAAACCTCATATATAGCGACCTTATACAAGAACATAAGTTATATTCGTGAGAGGCAAAGACTAGGGGAATGAATTGAACTAGCGATAGAGAAATTAGGAGAGCTTGAAATAAATATCTAGACAGCGTATATTGGCGCATATGATTTTGCGAATAATAGCATAATGTAATACCATAACCCCAGGTGACGGTAAATCGGGCGCCGAAAATGGCTACCCTGCACAGATTATGTGGCTCAGGAACTCGATAATAGACATTTCCAAGGAAGCTGCATGCGCAGAAGTCACAGTTGGCATCCATCGAAATTATGAACTGCAGTGATGGTCTTTGATTCTTTCCAACGTCGGGAAGTATATTGACTCAGACAATAAATTGGCTAACCTGTGATAACTGCACCGAAAAAAGCTTGCTCGACAATTGTTCATAGTCCTAGTAATGGTAATGGGTCTGGTAACCTGAAAATTCCTCTCAAGCTTTGCCAGTCTCCTCAAATACTTCGACTTGGGTGCTGGCAAACTTCCTGGCGTTGATTTTCCCCTCAAAAAGCAGATCAAGCTCAGCAAAAGAGCGATGGCTTGTCTCTGGGACTCGGAAGAACGTGTATATGACACAGAGGAAGCAAATTCCGGACCAGAAAAAGCCTGCGTAGTTCCCCCAATCCCAGGCGCCCGGGTTCAGCATGTATGGAGTTAACACACCGCATATTATAGCAACGATATTGTATAAATTGCGGCCCAGGACAACGGTCTTGATTTGTAACCGGCGAGTAGAGATTTCTGCCACGAGCGAGTAGGCCACAGTTCCGACGGAAAGCTGATAGAATAAGGCCCAGACAATCATAATACAACCCGTAGCAAGTGACGCTTGCTCCTTGTGTGCGCTCGGAACCAGGCCAAGCAAACCCATGATGAATAGCATGGAGCATAGTCCACAGAGACCATAGAGGTATAGCGTCCTTCGACCAATTCCTAGGGACATGAGGAACCATGCACCGATGACGCCAACCATATTGATGCCGTACTGTCCCATTGCAAAGGAGTAGGACTTGGACGCTGACAATCCTGCCTGTTCCAAAAAGTATGTAGAATAATTGGAAAAGGAATTGCCACTGAGATTTTGGATAGCCCATACAAGACAAACAATCTCTGTTCGTCGTAGGTTGGTTCCTTTAAAACAGTCGAAATATGCGGCCCCTTCCGAAAGCCTCTCTTCAAGCTTAGTAGTGTAGCTTATCATAGCAATTGTTTCATCGGCATTGAAATCCGTATCTGAATCAGCATTGGTCAAGCGTAGAAGTGCTTTTTTAGCATCGTCTATTCTCCCTTTTCTGACCAACCACCATGGCGACTCCGGGGCAAGAAGGATTCCAATAAAGAGAGGAAGAGGCCACATCCATTGCAATCCATATGGTATCCGGTATGACCATTGGTCATCCCGAGACAACATGGATCTAATGACTCCAATCCCTATAAGTTGTCCTAGACCCCAGCAGAAGTTGACATATGTTGTGAGATATCCTCGCAGAACAACAGGGCAAACTTCAGAGGCATAGGTCACAGTTAGTGTCTGGAAAACACCCCATGGGATGCCACAGAGAATCTCAGCTGCAAGCAGAGCTTTGATATTTGGTGCTGTGAAAAAGATGGCCGTCCATGCTGTTATAAGGACTAGGCAGGTCATAATTGTATAGCGGTATCCAAATCGCTCTGAGACCCATCCATTGATGAAGAGGCCAATGATTTCTCCAACATATGCGCCGTTGCTAAGGCCAGATTGCCACTGAACGGGAAAGATGCGTTAGTAACTCACCATGCAAAAAAAAAGGGAAGAAGAAGAAGAAGAAGAAGAAGAAGGAAAAGGAAAAGTGAGCAAAAAGCTTGACATACTGGAGCAGTCACTTGAAAAGAGCCATCTGGCATCTGTTCGCCGTATTTGTGTCGAAATGGAGGAAACCCGTAGAAATTATTAACAAGACAGACATCATAGCCCTCCATCGCGATACATGTGGAAATGAGAACACTCCACGCGATTGCCTTGGGATAAGTTCTGATTCCCTGCAGCAAGGTCATCTTATGCTCTGTATCGGAAGCGGCTTGGGCATTATGGATAGCTTTTCGCGTCGATGAAGAATTTTGACGTTCAATGTCCGGTAGGGTGTCAGATGCCGATACAATGAGATCCGGCGCCATGACTGTCGTTGTGTTCGGAGTTGGGTTGCAAGATATCAACAAAGGAAAAGTATACAAATCATAGAACAGGCGTCGATCAGAAAATCAAAAAGTGGGCCATATGTTTTTTCAGTGTGGAGGACAGCTATTTATGCGGGGAGAAAATCCATGTGTGAGAATATACGAAAGTTCGCTGACCGTAGGCAAATGGTGAGTATGACAGAACGGATCGGTCCGAAACGTTTCTACCTTCAATGTCAAATGCCGTCAAAGGAGATGGAATGGGCTGTATGGTTAGCTACATTCTATTTCCTTCAATGGCCGTCTACATAGGTTGTTCTCTTGGCAAGTGAGGGAAACCAATTTCCGATATACGAGTATCCGGAATTAAATGTGCAGGAATACCTAGCCATTGTTCCGTACGCAACTAGATGAGATATTTGGTAAGAGAAACCAATATAGACGAAATGCGGGGTTTCACGCTAGCTTAGTGATCGTCCGAAGGACTACCAGTATAAGTAAAACTCCTCGTGACTAGTTTCCTCGTAGGGCTCGGAGGATGCGAGAGCGCTAGCTAATAAAAAGCAAAGTCTTCATCCCCAGCAATGCGGGATTTAATCTCAATGTCCAAGAGGCATAGCTCCAGGTTTTGAGCCTGGATATCGCTTAGACAAGCCCAGTCACCGCAGCACATGCAACTTCGAGTGTCACACGCGACCTGGTTGCGTCGCCTCGGTTCTTAGGAGGGCTGGTATGTATTAATCGTCATACAGGCGAGCTATATGCCGGCATCTGGTGATTATAACTATAAGATTCTATTCTTAATATAATACTATCATTCACTTTACATGAAATTTCCTAACCATGTGAGCCCTTTCTGCGACAGTCCTATGTTTCTCAAATACTGTCTATTGCCCTGCCAAGTAGTATATCGTTCTATAATAAGGAGGCTGAGAACCACACGATATAGGGCGGAACTAGAAGGAATATATACAGTATTAGACTGCTCTCTGTTGCCTCAAAACGCCGTCGCCATAAGGCTTCCTTGGAGAAGGATGGTCGCAGGTGGCAGTATTGATCATACAAGGAAACATATTTCCGAAAAGGAGGCACAGGAAACCTATATCCGAAAAGGATGTGCTAGCTTAGGAAATAACATTACAGACTCCATCCTGCAATATTTACTACTACATTGTAGGTGCCTGTAATGAATCGTCGGCAATCAATATGCGAACAAAGCGTGGATGTCGTAAGACAAATCATTGTAGGCTAAATAATTGCCTTTTTCGGTACGGTCAGTCCCCTTGTAGGGCTTCAGAGGATACGAAAGTAAAGGACATTAAGCTCGTGAGAGCGCTCGGCTAATGGCAGGACCCTAGTTTGAATGTCAGGAATGTGGGGTTTGATTAGAACTAGAGAGATGTAGTGAGGCCTTAATTACAGTATAAAAAGGTCGGGCAGATAGACGATATCGATTACTGAAACGGCAGGACCACAGTTACTCGACTTGGATCATTCTACTTGTCCTTTCCTCTTTGAAAATGCGTCTTTCTTCTGAGTTGTTGCTCTTTGGACTGGTAACGGCCATTAACGCCGACGTTGTCGGGAAGAGAGCGACATCCACAGTTCCCGATTACTTCCAGACAAGCTATGGCCCATACGCAGGTATGTATATCAACTACGCACCGAGCTGGCGCCCTCGAGGGTTAACATATGGCACAAATAGGTCCGACAGAGGCTGGGCAGCCACCATTTCTGGCTCAGGCGAACCCGGCAACGCTTGGAAATCGTAACTATGTGCCTAACACTCCGGTGGTGACCGCTGTGCCCATCGTTGGATGCTCGGACGGTGCCGAAGTGTTCAAACATATGGGTAACCTCTCGTACGTCTAGGTGTAGCTCATAGTCCCTTAAGCCGTCAGCTAATCTTATATGAAGTCCCTATATGCCAAATCCCTCTGGATTCGGGGTCGAGGAATTCCCACTGCCCGCTGGCACCAACATCACCCAAATGCACATGGTTCATCGGCATGGATCTCGATACCCAACCTCCAGCGCCTCTGTGGCCACACTACCAAACCGTATAGCGGATCTTCTCGGAAACGGAACTCGCTTCCTCGGCGATTTGGCGTTCCTCAACAGTTGGACATATCAACTGGGAAAGGAAGAACTAACAGCACTTGGACGTCAACAACTTTTCGATAGTGGTGTCCTTAACTATTTCAATTATGGTCGACTTTATGACGGTTCCAAAAAACTAATTGCTCGCACCACCACGCAAGTGCGAATGCTGCAGTCGGCCGAAAATTTCTTAAGTGGATTTTTTGGACCGGATTGGACGAAGAACGTCACACTCGAGGTCATGATTGAAGAGTACGGTTTTAACAATTCCCTCGCTGGCGATAAGGAGTGCACCAATTCCAAGAACGGTCGATCAGACGCCGGAGACGATGCATCGAGCCAGTGGCAGGAAATATATCTGAAACGTGCAACGGATCGATTCCGCCGCTCAATGACGGGCAATCCAAACTGGACGACAGCGGACACGTATAATGCACAGACTATGTGTCCATATGAGACAGTTGGCTTGGGATATAGCCCTTTTTGTTCGCTGTTCACCTGGGACGAGTGGTTGGGCTTTGAATATAGTCTTGACCTAAGTTACTATGGAGGCAATGGCTTTGGGTCGCCCACCGGACGAGCAGTTGGCGTTGGCTATGTTGAAGAGCTTCTCGCCAGATTACAGCAGCAGGGCCCTCCTTCGGGCGAGAATAATGTTGCCTTCAATGAAACATTGGACAGCAACCCCAGTACTTTCCCTCTGGACCAGACATTATATTTGGACTTCAGTCACGATACTGTCATCATGTCCATGTTGACTGCCATGGGCTTAACGCAATTTGGACAGTTCTTGCCCCCTACAGGACCACCGCCGGACCGGCAGTTAATTGTCAGCCATATTGTTCCTTTTGCAGGTCGGTTCAATATAGAGGTGATCAAAGCGCCGCGACCAGTGCGTGTAAGACGATCACAAGATCCTCACAAGCCCGCATATGAATCGGAAGGACACGAAACAACCTACATCCACATGTTGATGAATCAGCGGACAATCCCACTTGGCCACAGTATCCCAGAGTGTGGTCAGCGGGATGACGGGTGGTGCGAATTAAAGACGTTCATTAAAGCCCAGAAAGAAAACGTTGCAAAGGCAAAATATGCTGAGAGTTGTTTCGGCAACTACTCCGCCCCGGCGTACGGTGATATCACGACCGGCGCAATCTGAACCGACAGTCACTACAACATTCCATGATGCGGCCTCGAACCAGAGGTGGAACCATCCCGACCATAACAGAGAATTCATGGACAGAACATGTTGACGTGTTTTGAGTGTCTAGGTCCTTGTGTAATTGTCCTCGATATCTAGCTATTTTCATCCAATCAAAAACTGGAGATAAAATTTCGTCTCGCGTATTCCTCAGGTTTTTCACGACCTTGGGTTGTATGCAGCTGGCTAGCTAATATGCACCGCACTGTTGAATATGGGAGAGATGTTTATGTCACGGCCTTCACAGCCATCACATATAGTCGCGCCCAAGTCGGGCCCCCAACTGTGGGCCCTCTCCGTCGTAGTGAATTTCCATACTAATCCACAAACCCAATTCCTTTTGTTGCCTAACTACTAGTAATACGCTAACCCAGAAAGTCCCAGACTACGCTGCGCCTCTCTTCCCCCACTTTTTCTTCCTAAGAGCTTACAGCCATGTCCGCTTCGCCTTCCAATAGCAGAGATGCGGCAGACACTATGCCTCCTGTCAAGCCCGGATTTAACTCGTCGACCACACCCGAACATCCCATTGAATACTGGGAGGCGCGTTTACTCGGCAAGAAGGTGCATTTCGAGACGAGTGGGGAAGAAGTCCCTAAGGCTGAGAAAGAGGTACGCATTGGAGGTTACGCCCGAACTGATTTGTCGCTAGACTACATGGCGTTGACCTGCCTAGTATTCGTCTCACCCATCGCTAATTACGACTAGACTACTATCATGGATTCCGATCTCCCTAAACTTCACCAGTTTCACCCGGGACCAGTTCTTTTTAATCGGATAAAAAGACGGTAAGTCTCCCTATACGGCCTTACAGGCAGCCAAAGGGCCTACAGTTGAATACTTACTCTTGTGTTACCTAGACTAAACCTACAGCTCGAGGATCGAATTGTAGTAAGAGTTTGGTATGGCTAGTAGTATTACGGTCTTGTCAGTTACGTTGTCAATTTACTCCTGCTTATCTAACGTGAGAAGCCGGGATTAACAGGCAACCGTGGCGCTTTCACACTCACCATGCCATTATTGCGCTGAGAAACGTCGAATCAAAATTGAGAATGCCTTCGTTTTAATTCTGCCCAGGGAAATCCGAGAGTACATCATTGAACAAGTCTTATGTGGTTGTCATACGCCCCCGACCTATCCATCGAAGTCAGGCAGAATCGACTTCCATGATATCATTTACAAGGCCTGGCGCAGCAGGACGAAAATCTATCATGAACAACGCGGCACGCACTGCCCATCGAACTGTCTTCCTCTACTTTTGACGAGTCGTCAAATACATGACGAAACCCAATGCATCCTCAATCGCAAGAATACAAAATCCACATATGTTCTGAATATCTCCGTCTTAAACGACTACGACCTGTTCCCAACTTGGATATCCGTGCCGTATATCACGAATCGTGTCTATGCGTTGTATACAGATGTGCACCTTTTCGGCAGTATTATCCCGTCTAAGATAGCTAGACGCCTCGTGGGGGACGGGGGGCGCCTCGGATTTCACTGGAGCTTCTATGCCTTGCTTGAACGCTTTCTTCGCTATGGACCCGTGGGCGAGAAAAAGGGAAAACGCAATGACAGCGGAAATCTAATTTCCGACCAAATCGAATTAAATCTGTTTCAAAGGGGGAATTTGAATTTCGATGATCGCGATATAACCGTCGAGATCCTTACTCTTGATTTCCAGTCTGCCGAGCCTATGCTTCCGTTTCCCCCAGACAATATTGGTTACGGTGCATGGCAAGGTCAACATCACGCCTTTGACTTGATCTTTGACGAAACCAACGGTCCAAGCGAGCTTGAGCAGTATCGGACCCGACCAGAATGGCTCGCGAAATATCTTTTGTTGGAGATTCACGCTCTTCTGACTATGTCCTACCACTTTGCATCGTATGGGAAAATGCTCTATGAGCGGATTGGAACCATCCGTATCGTCTCGCCGGAGGGAGTGACTGAAATCGACCTCGCCACTAGACTAGCCGCGCTACGCTTTACTAACCAGCAAGACACCTTTGGCGACGTGTGGCCGCCTGAAGAACGTCTTTCTACGTTCTGGAAGTGGAAGAAGCAGACGCTAGCTCGTAGGCAGGAGCTAGGCTTTCCGGTTGTGTGGCCACATGATCCGGAATTGAAAGGTTGATGTGAGCCTTGCCTTGTGAGCCGCCTCTCAAAGCAGAGGAATTGTAATTTGCTTTCCTTACAAGCCTGCCTTTTATAGCATATGCGAGGCTTTAAAGGATGTTGGCACCTACCATATGTCGCCTAAAGAAGCACCCTAAGAGCAGAGGCCTGGTTGACACTATTGGTGGGCATCGTGGAATAGGGGCGTAGGCGGGATTGGTGGTAGAGGGAAAAGATTCGAATAATTCAGGGGGATACAGCAGCCAGTGACTGGCTTTGTATTATCTCACAATCAAGTTTAGTTATGAGGGTGGTAGCCACGGTGCGATATTGTGCATACACGCGAAACCAAACTAGCTTTCGTCAAGCTTCATTGCTCTCGCCCAAAAATCGGCCTGGCCGACGTATTAAAACTTGGTTTCGAAGACCAATCGACGCATGGAAGCACACAAATAACAAATCGGAGCTATTCTGAACACCATGATCATTTCCAGCCTCTTTTGTGATTATGACAAATTGATCAGCTTACGCCCCCAAATCAAACGGTCTAGGCTGCTCACCCTCGAATCCAAAGCCCGTTATATATAAACAGCGGGAGACTCGCAAAAGACCAGTTCCAAGACATTGATGATTATCAGCAATTGCCATGCCCTCCTCTGCTGACTATATAATTGTCGGCGGTGGCACCGCCGGCCTGGTGGTCGCCAACCGATTGTCCGAAGACCCCAACATCCATATTGTTGTGCTGGAAAGTGGCCCAGACTGCACCACCGATCCTCGAGTGCACGATCCAAAAGCATGGCCGACCTTGCAGGGTTCAGAGCTGGATTGGCAACTGAAGACGGTACCCCAGGTGGGTAAATGTAAATCAAAGCCACAACGGCCATACTGATCATAAGTCTAGCCCGGCTTTAACCACCGTGAACAAATCTTTCCTTCCGGGAAGGTTCTGGGAGGTTCAGCTGCCATCAATGGGTTGGCATATCTGCCACCATCACCTGCCGGTATTGACGCATGGGCGCAGCTGGGCAACTCGGAATGGAATTGGGACTCGCTTCTTCCGTATGTGCACAAGTCCTATACGGTCTCTGCGCCTGATGCAGAGACCTGTAAGGAGATGGACGTGAAGCTGCAGACCACAGGCTCCGGGCCCATTCAGGTATCTTATCCTGTCCTGGCAGAAAAGACAAACCATGCCCTCCTCCAGGCCTGGACCGATGCCTTCCAGGACCAGGGATATGAATGCGCGAGCGACCTCCTATCGGAAAAGAAAACGGTTGGTCCTCGCCACTACTCAGCAGTGATTGACCCTAAATCTGGCCTTCGGAGCAGTGCCGATGGTGAGTATGGCATTCCAGCCATGAAGAGGCCCAATGTTGAGATTGTGACGGGGGCGTCTGTTCGTCGTATCGTGTTTTCCACTCCTTCCTCCGCTCTGCCCGTTGCAACCGGTGTCGAAGTCTGCATAGGTGGTCAAGTTCGCACTGTGGATGCAACGAAGGAGGTGATCCTCGCTGCGGGTGCCCTTCACACCCCGAAGCTGCTCGAACTCTCTGGTATAGGAGACAAAGAGGTGCTCGACCGCCTTGGGATTTCCCAGGTGATTGATAGTCCAGGTGTCGGAGAAAACCTGCAGAATCACGTTCTCAGCGTCTTGCCCGTGCCGCTGAGCGACATCCCTGAAGCCACAAACGCGGTGCCAGGCATCCAAGCCACGGCATTTGTGCGCTTGGATGCGCAGGAAAAGGCAGAAGTCTTAGCCCACGTAGCCCCATCTGGTCACGACCACGACCGAGTCATACGCTCAAGAATCGAGCAACCCGATGAAGCATCAGCGCTGGTGCTGTTCATAGTCGCGCCGGGCAATCTGGGCGTGTTGGTGGTGATTCCCTGTTTCCCTCTGTCTCGTGGAAACACTCACATCCACACCATGGACCCGGACTCCCAGCCGACCATCGATCCACGATATTTCAGTCAGGAACTGGATCTAGAGATCATGGCCAGGCATGTTCAGCACGCGCGGAAACTGCCATCTGCACCGGCCATGCGACGATTCTTCCAGGCGCCCGATCTCGAGGCCATGGATCTGAGTGCGATCAAAGAATCGCTGCGATCGAGTGCTCAGACAGCGCATCATTACTGCGGCACGGCGGCCATGTTGCCGCGCGAGAAGGGCGGCGTAGTGGATCAGAACCTGCGAGTTTATGGGACCCCTAATGTGCGGGTGGTAGATGCCAGTGTCTTTCCTCTGATTCCGCACGCGAATCCCCTAGCGACGGTGTATGCGGTGGCAGAGAGGGCTGCCCATGTCATCGCGAACAAATAATCATGAATGCAAAGACCGTCTGTTTCCACCGCAGGCATCTTGATAACGGTCAGTAGCTAAGTAAGCGGCGCTTTATCAAAGTAGTGGGTTAACAAAAAGATGGTCTTGGTAGCGCATTGATTCACGGGGCGGTTTGGGGCTAGCATCGGCCGCCATGGTGAGAAAGAGAATTGACGATGATCCAGTTGCTGGATGCAGGGGCAATAATAAAGATCAACAATGCCGACAGATTACCTTCGCCCCCTGGGCAAATTAAACCCAGCGTGATGAGCGTGTTGGGAAGTTGGCGGTCTTCGAGCATAAATGCGTCAAATATTCATGAAGATAAAAAGATGCCTATCTATATATCCTTTGAGAAAACCAGCCCCGAGTTAGATACAATGCAGCCAGAATCCAGTCGGCAGTTTCCGTAGGTCCAAAGGCCGAACAAGACAGATATCATATACATCCTTCCCGATGCCCAAGCCTAAAACTCAAATTCCTTGCGGAAGACATTCACATCCATACCGGCAACAACCTGATCGGCCAGATCGCGACGTCCCATCTGGCTGAAGACCCGACGCAGTGTATCGTACAGATTCGTGCTCTGGTTCTGGCTGATATGCAGCATGCGTTCGAGCCGCTCGTCGTCCAGACCATCAGGACCTTGACCGTCGCCGATGATCTCGCGAGCGCGCTCACGGCCCTCTTGTTCGACGACGCGGTGCATGGACAGCGCGCCGAGCAGATGCTGCGCAGCTTCCGGATAGCAGCCTATGTTGATGCAGGACACGCCTAGGTTGTAGCGGGCGCGCACGAAGTTCGGGTTGATGGTGAGGGCTTGCTCATATGCCTCGATTGCTTCTTCCGAGCGGCCTGAGTTGGCGAGCGTCGCGCCTAGCCGGTTCCATAGGAGATGAAGCTGCTCGCGCTGGTTGGTGGTGCCGGACTCGGTTGAGGCAAGCGCGGATGAGAAGCAGTCGACGGCTTTGTCGTATTCCTCTGCGCAGTAAAACAGCACACCGAGTCCGACTTGCACGTCTGGGTCCATCTGTGCTCCAGAGGGAGAGAGCTGGGCTGCTTGGATGAAAAGGTCTGTAACGCGGTCGTGCAGGAGCTGCCGGTCTGTGAATCCCAAGTCGGCATCCCCGGACACATCATTCGGGTTGATGATCTGCGGGTATTTGTGGGATAGCCAGCGCTCGAGTGTGCGGTAGGCGGTTGAGTCGTAACCTTCGTTGGTGTATGAGACGGCCAGACCCATCAATGCGTCCAAGTTCCCGGGATCGACCTTGAGAGCCTGCTCCAGTGCCCGGATAGCCGGCAGCTCCTTTTCGTTCTGCGCCTGCGCCGAACCCAACATCGTCCAAGCTTGCACATGTTGCGGGTCTTTCTGCACAGCAGCCTCGAATGCCAAAGCCGCTAGCGACAGATTGCCGCCCTCGCGCATGATCTTCACGCCTTCCTCAAACGGATTGTTGACAGCCTGGTAGACATTGTCCTCTTCGAACATGTAATCGCCCAGCTGCGGATCGCGGAACCGGGTGTTCAGGCTATCAAAGCCCTCCCAGTCATTCAAGTCCCCGACATGCAAGCTATCGGTGACATCAAAGTCATCTACCTCCTCGGCAAGCTTTCTGTTTGTCGCCGTCTCAGCCTGGACCCGTTGCCACACGGTCTCGAATTCTGAATTGGGCACTGACCTGTCCAGCTCGTTCAGCTCTGCCTCCATCGCCGCGTTGGCCTCGTCGTCCGTGCGCGTCTCGTTGCCAGCCGTCTCCATCTCGGCGAACTGTGCCTCCCAGTTCTCGTCGTCCAGTTCCACCATCCGGTTCTTGCCCTTATCCTGCGTCTGTCCCTCCATGGGCTGCTGCTGCATCGACATCGGCCCACCATATGACGGCTGCATCATGCCCATTCCGCCCATGCCTCCCATACCTCCCATATACCCACTCATCCCCATCGGCCGCTGATACCCGGCCATAGCGGGCGGTGTGGCGGAGGTCGCCGGGCTGGACATTCGGCCTTGCTGCTGGAAGCGCGCGAACTCGGCAGGCGTGAAACCCGACCCGTTGTTCATCTGTGCTGCGCCGGGAAAGGCCGCCTCCATGCGTGCCTGCTCGCCGCTATCAAACTCCGCCGCCCACCCGGGCGACCCGGTGCGAGGCGGTGCAGTCTGGAAGTTCTCGAGCTCGCGCCGCATGTGCTCCATGGCGAACGGCTGGGGAGACGGACCGGGTATTTGCTGGCCCGGTTGCTGCATGAAGTCGTCCATCATCTAGATATTGTGTTAGATTGATTCGGCTTTGTTCGGGAAAGCCATCAAACGACGTACCTGGTCCTGTCCGCCCATCATCCCCCGCGACCGCATACCTTCTTGCATGCCGGGCCCGCGGCCCACGAGCCGGTCGCGCTGGAGCGACTTGTCATCTTGGACGTGCTTGGTGAATTGAGTCAGAGGGTTCCCCGCGGTAGAGCATTCCGCGCCACCGAGGAACGACATGATCGAGGAGATGTGATGCAGACGAATATGAGAGTCAAGAGGGAGAACAAATAAGAAAGAAAGCAAATATAGAGACAAAGAAAGGACAAAGAGTCTGTCTGGCGGGGAGAATACAGAGGGAGACTGAATAATCGACGAGCCCCGGACTCCGACGTGGGGTTCGCCGAGCCGAGGTTGTCCGTCACGTGGATTAGTCAGGGCTTTGTATAAAATTGGAGAGACCGATCCGTGCGAGAAACAATATTAAATAATAATACATTCTAGGTACATGTATTCTCCGCGATCCATCATTGACTCCGGGTTACATCTCCGGCTCCTCGGGAATGGACCTCCGCTGCTGCATCTTCATAGGTGCCGCATAATTGAGCCGCAGTTTGCGGCCATAGGGATCCCTCAACGATAACATCTCCTTGGCCCGGACAGCACTGGGAACATCCAGGAACTCGACATGCATGAACCCACGAGGCATGCCCGAGCGGCGGTCCACGGGAATGCGCACGTCGACGATATTATGGATATCCTCAAATAGGGCATTCACATCCTGATCCGTCATTTCGTAGGGCACATTGCCGATAAACAGCGTGAAGGTCGGAGCAGTCTTGTCAATTTCAGAACGCGACATCGCCGTGTTGGCAAACTGCACAACAGTAGTTCTTCCTTCGAGCACCTGCATATGCTGTTGTTCGATAGCCTTCTCAGCCTCTTCGATGGTGCTGAAGCGGACATAACCGAAGCTGGGAAATAGTCAGATTGATGAATTCGTCTCCAAAACTCAAAATATGGAAACCGCGAACGCACCCTTTGCTCAGGCCCCGGTTATCATGAATAATACTCGCCATCTCCACAACCCCAAACTTCTCCATCGCCGCCCGGAGATCGTCCGCCGTCATATCGAAGAACAGATTGCCCACGTACACCGTCTCCTTGCGTTTTAGCGACTTGTTCAGCATTTGATGCCGCCGCGCCCGCTTTCCTTCCTCAGGTTTCTCGGACTCGTATTCCGCTCTGGCAGGGCCTCGTTCCCTCCCCGCCCTCTCAGGGCTAGGCGCTTCGGAGCTCCTCAAATTCGCCAAATTTTCTTCCGGCCGGACCGAGTCAGGTCGATCCACTTGGGATTCCTCTGCTTTTTCTTGGTCCAGCGGTGTAGGTGAACTAGAAGAGGAGTTCCATCGTGTCTGGAGACTGGACGAAAGAGCTAATCGGCGCTGCGCAAAAGGGGGCGCAGAGGGAAGAGAAAGGGCGCATCGTGGTAGTGCAGCCACAGTAGGCTTGAATGTCAACGATGATGATGACTTCAAGAGTCTCGTGGCAGCTCGGCTAAGAGGATGCCTGGTTCGGACGATGGCTGTTAGCAGTGCTTCTACGATGTGATTCTTCATTGTGAAACGCGACACGACACAAAGGGTGGAAGGTCAGAACGCAATGACAAAGTGGTAGTACTCACATCATCGTATACATCCGTGCTTTTGCAAAGACGAAAAGAAGGGTTCGCGGAAAAAGACAAGTGCTGGAATCGCGACTCGCGCTAAGGAAAAGTCTCTGGGGGATAACGGTCACGTGATCCCGCTTATCATGGGTGGGACAGCGAGTTCACAATGGAGCGGAGTAGATGTAGTAAAACGAAGCAGGTATGATACAAAGGAATCACAAGAAACAGTAGACATCGCTTTTTTCCACCGTGAAGTCCTCCCGTAATTTGCAAACCCCAAAAAGTCATTGATCTTTCCAATCCTTCTCAAGACACCAGGTCAAACAAAATCCCGACGCTAGAACATGAAGTAATTGTTCATAAAGAATCCAGAGAAATAACATACTATGATTCACGCATTTCCTTGGTCCCGGCTTGTACTTCCGGGCTGGGATGTCGAGGGCGTGCTAAGACTATTACCACCGCTATCGGGGCTGTTAAATGGCGGTGAAAATATGTTGGGCGCCCGCGGGTTATTGCCCTCGGATGGGAGGACACCCATGGCAGCGGAATAGGGTGTTGGGAACCGTGCTGAGGCCAGAGGACTAGATACGGATGGTTGGGACATGCCGACAGTCTGTGGAGTTGGCTGCCGTTGTGCGTCCATCATGTGCCAGAATTGGTTGCTTGTGTCAAGCGTTGGATTTTGGAGGTAGGTGTCCCACGCATCCTATGATCAGACAATGTTAGCTTTGCTATCGTGATGGATAATCCATCAAACTCACCCAGTCGAGGTTGACCTGCATGTCCGGCATCTGACCGAACATGCTACTGAACGGCGAGAGCGCACCCGAGATCTCGGTGGGATTGCTCATTCCCGCAGTTGGCAGGGGCGAACCCGTGGTTTTGAACATTGGATCCGGGAAAGAAGCCGGACCTGAGTTCATCGGACTCATCCCACTGCTCAGCAGACCAAGTGTCATGGCGGCATTCTGCTTCTCGTCCTGCGGCTCAAACGGTATGTTCGGCGCAGCCCCGTTTTCCAGACCTGGGATCGTGTTCAGTTTTCCGAGCATCACACCCAGAATGCCGGATGCCTTCCATGCTTCCATGCTTTCGTCTCCTAATTGATCCCATATTTCTTTCGACTGCCGGATCGCCGCCATCATTTCCTCGCGCCGCTCTCGACCCCAGGTGTACGTGTCTCCGGACGGCCGTCCCGCTGCCTGAAGCTGGAATCCGTGGTATAAATCAAGACAGACGATGGAGGCAGCAAGCAGGAAATCTGCTGATGTCAAAGACGAGACTCGGCCCAGGCCCCTGCGTAGGCGCCCCGACGGCCCATTTTCTACTGAAAGGATCTTCTGGAAGCTCAAAATATCCATGGCCGAGTCGATACACGTCCGTCGTGAGTATGTGAAACGGGGGTTATCACGCGCTCGTACCAGGTACGGTCGATGTAATACACATTGTGCTTTGTTATACACACTCATGATCTAAAAGTTGTCAACGTCCAAACCAGGCCTTCAACAAATGACGCAAACTTACACTGAACCGGGACGAGATGAGATTGGCCGGATCCAACTGGCACTCCTCCATGGGCCGAATTTGCAGATGCTCAGGAATCAGATCCCTTGCACGACGGAGATCGGCGTCGATTTCCATCACCTTGTCGTACGAGCTAGATGCAACCGAAGATGTGTGTTCGACAACGCGGCCAAAAGCCTGCGCCAGACGGCCTTTGGCGATCAGATACGAGATCGAGGTCGGCTCATTTAGCGGCCGTGGAGGCGGCAGCTCCTTGGAGTTTTCATCAAAATCGTCATCATAGAGATTCCGCGGCAGTTCCGTATCACTATCGGTGCTGCGAATCATACTCGGCAGTCCAACCTGAAATGAAAACAGCAGATCCGCAGAGCGGACAAAGGTCCACACGCGTCGTCGCATCTCGCCCTGGAACGGAGTTATGTTGGGGAACATCTTGGAGTCCCGATGATATCCCATCCGCATTGCCAGCCGAGTAATCACACCCGTCAGCACCCAAACGGAAACGGAGGCCTCTAGAGTCTGGGAGAAATCGCCATGCAGGTGGAACACGAGCGATTCAATGAGATAGGGGTATGGCTTTGTATAGTCCGCTAGGGTCAAGCACTGGGCCACGGAATTTCGAAATGAACTGGCCATGTCTATCGACTTGCCCCGGAACTCGGGAGGCTCGTCACCTTCCCGGCTATAGGACAGCATGGCCAGTCGCATCATGCCAAAGAGCATGCTGATCCAGACAATACAAGTTTGAGATGTGTCTTCCCAGTGTTTGTTGTACTGTGCTTGGAATGTAGGAGCATGAAGAACATGAGTCGCAGGGTCGTAGGTATTGAAGTAGCGGGCAACAAGCATATCACACGTGTACTTGGATGGCAAAGACGACAAAATTTCAGGCCGAGTCATGGGTTTCATGGCACCAAACAGCAGTGTCGACTCTGTAACATCCGTGGGCGGCTGATGACCCTTGACTTTCTCCGCCTGCTCCTCGTATTGTTTCTTGTGTGATGCAAAGAAATTCCGCACTTCAGAAATCTGTCCCACAGTTAGTATTTGGAGGGCAAATCTTTCCATCAAAACCTACATCATTCAGCACAGAGGCCCAGTGAGCATCGCTGATGTAATAGGACTTGTTGGCGTTGTCCACCTTCATGATTCCAAAGGACTTGGTAACCTGCTCTGTATCACTTTCCTCCGGGCCATCATTGCCATCGTCGTCAATATCAATATCAAACTCGTTCGAAGGATGAGCCGAGTCCGCGCTGCTATCCCCGGTGATCGCCGCCAGGGCAGCCGCCGGACCGGCCGACTGAGAGCCGTTGGTCATCAACGACAAGACCAAGCCTTCCAGTCGGTCGATGCGATTTTGCATATCATCGGGAGTGGTCGCCGTCTGCTGGGGCGCGTTCTTCTTGCGCGTGGTTGTCTGCGCATAAGTACATGACGCGGCGTCGCCGCGCTTGACGCAGTTCTCACACGGGTGTGAGCGGTTGCATTTCAGCCTGGATCACCATTAGTCCGATTCACCGATCGAGTCTCCGAGGCACTTACTTGCGGTGACGGCAGGGGCCGCACGACAGAGGTACGCGGTTGCGCTTGCGAATCACTCGAAACTCGGGCGACTCCACGCTCGAGGAGTTTGTAGAAGGCGGTGTCGGAGTCATGTTGTTTGTCGGGACTGGTGATCAAAGGGAAGAAAATTGGTAATCCGAGTCGATCAGGGCCACGCTCTTGATGTCGGGCCCAATGCGCGGCGAGGACCGCAAGCTCTCGTGTTCCGTGAGCTCAACCGGGCGGGGGACGGGGTTCAGCCTGGTTGGGAGCCCACAGTCGAATATCACTGGTAGTGGCTAAGCAAGATTTGGCCTCTGCGCCTCTATAAGATGTCGCGCGAATCCAGTGTCCCTGGCCAGGAATTGCGGGGCAGACCAAATCGACGGGGGAAGCCTGCAGTTCGCAACGGGGCAAAGTTCGCCGGACAGGGGGTCGAGATGAACACGGTGGAAGGTTTGTCAAGCTGACCGGAGATGCGCGCAAAGGGAGCAGCTGCCTGCGGACGAATAGTGGGGGGTTTATGGGAGAAGAAGAGATGGGAATGGAAGGAAGACAGGCTGGGGGCCAAAAGCAACAGCTCGCCAGGCAGTCAGGCAGGGTCGCTCGGGGTGTCTCCTGACGAAGAGAAGAGAGAATCACGAACAATAAGACCAGACGAGGACGATGATGATGATTAATCCTCTGCCCTCGTATCTCCGTTATCACCTCATGATCGCACCCTCGCCCAACCAATCAGCGACATCGCAGGGGTCCATGAGTCATCTCACCGCATCGCCGATCCAATAGATCAGGTGACGATCGGGGTCTATCCAAAACAATGCTTCAACGCCTCGTTCCACCCCCCACAGCCCGCCAGGTAGTTGCTCAAACTGGGTCGAACATCTTTCCAGACGGGATACGTAGGCTGGTAGGACACCCCTCGCGATGTATGATGGTCCAGAGACACTCGGATCGAGTGTTCCAGTCCCAAGTCATGAAGCTGGACGCGCATCCGATTGGGGTGGTTGCGAATGGCATCAAACACCACTCTCCACCGGGCCTCGCCGGGACTGGCGGGATAGGGGAAATAATGGATGATGATGTGCCGCAAGTTGTCGAGCCGCTGGAGCAATGCCGCAAGGCCCCGATCGGAGAGAAGGAGAGTCACCCAGATCTCCAGCACCTGAAGCTGGCGGAGATGAATGGTCGGTTCGAGCGGCCACGCCGGGTGCCGCGGAATCGGAAAGGCCATCTTGAATCGCACAAGGGTGTCCTGGCATTTGTGGAGCAGGACCGACAATGCACCGACACTGCTTCTTCGGGCCCCGTAGTCAAAGTGCCCGATCACTGGAGCGTGGGTTAGGGAGAACGGGGTGCGCCAGACGGGTGGAGGCGTCCACTCTGCCCGGTTCTGCACACTGAAAGTAAGCTCTTCGATACCATTGAAGCGGAGGGCGGCCCACCTGGGGTCTCGCTGCCAGTCGATGTTGAGCCCGAAGATACATTCGATCTCGAGCCGCTGGATTGTCACGCCAGTCATGCAAGTCACCACAGTCGTCAGAAGTGCATCACTGACGGGTCCTGCCAACCATTCGCAAGCATATATGCCGTGACTATTATCGTGTGGATGGGGATGAATTTCATAGCCCGGCGGGTGAGCAACGAACTCATCCTCGCTCGCATCCAACTCCGCTCGGCCAACCCTAACGGTGGTGACATTGGGAAGACTCAGAAGAAGAGTAGTCCATAACATGTGGAACACCCCCCTCATAAACAGTGCTCGGATTTGATTCGCTCGTACGCAGTAAGAGTTGAATGCGCTCATGACTTCTGCCTCTGAAAAGGAGCCTGCAGGAGCATATTTTTGTATCACGGCCAGCCGCGTGGGCCGAGAGAATGGTAATTCTGCTTGAGGGAACCGGGTACGGTCTCGCTCTGGAACAATTCGGTATAGTGTCTGCATGGCCACGATTTCCTGGAACAAATCCAGGTCCATGGCCCAGCTGTGATGGGTTGGCTCAAAGATGACCCGCTTCACAAATCTGCCTAGGCGGGGCAGATCACATATCCGAAGGAACGCGGCATGCTCAGGGGACGCCTTGATTCTGAGGGTGTGGAAGAAATGCCGATGAAGGCTTTCCGAATAGGCAAATCTCGGATGTGATAATCGCAGTGCGCCGAGGCATTTTTTGGTGTTGGGCGCATCAGAGGGAGATTTTATACTCCTGGACTCGCCATAGGACTCTGCCAGTGTTTCTATAAGCAGGTGGATGATATCCTCATTAAGACAGTCAAATATATGCATCACGAGAGGTAAGATGAGATCGGAAGGAGCGGTCCACGTCTGACCAGCTCAGCGTTCATTGAAGAGGGCGGGAAATTGATTGCCTGACTAGTGGCGGGAAACATCGGCTTCAGAATCAACTAAATCAACACCGACGTTCGCCTAACATTACTTAAGCAATATTGACAACCTCATTGCAAGAGAAGTAGTAGAGCAATAATGTTTGTTCGCGTTCACACTGTGTAAGAAGGAAAAGAGTGCCACCGCTTGCGTCTCTCATACCCTTCTCCCTTTTACATCTTAGTCAATATCCCCTCGATTAGACTCATGGGGCGCTCAAAAAGGACAGCCCTTTAGAAGTAGAAGAAGCGTCGTCGCCCAGCACGGTCCTACCGTGGGTCTGCTCTTATCCGAAAAAGAAGGTCGAAAGGCAGAATCCGAGTATTTCGACGAGGACATTCCAGACTTCCATGAAAAAAAGCAGTTTCGGAGCCATTCAACGATAACTCTGAATCCTGGGAACGCTACGGCATCAAAGCTCATCCATAGGCGCCAGCGGTACATCTATACGAACTACAGCATCATACCCTGACGTGATGGTCTCGTCACCCCAGCATCTGCATCATATGGTATCCATTCATTGCCAGATATCGATATGGTATCCACAGAAAATGCGATAACTAACCTTTCCCTATTTCCCTCCAGTGTACATACTGCTTCTCCTGCCAATATAGCAGCCATCAACCCACATACAGGCCACATTTCCTCTTCAGTTACTTCTTCATGGCCCTAGTCCTCCAAGCAGCCAGTTATATGCAGCAGTACCTCTGGTCATGGCTGCATGTAGCACCAAGTAAACGGCCAGACGCCTTGAAAATGGGCGTGATCGCAGAGTCAGATCTTGATCCTGAAACAGGTGCGTACATAGCTTACGGCCCCTGCCACAGATCCTTTCTACCTTATGTACAGGTTCGCAAGACAACATTAACAAAGAATGTGTTGTTCGAACTATGCTAACCATTACAAAAAGTCCTACACCCAGCAACCTCCCACCCAGGCTTAACCCTTCACGCCATCGCCACCCCGGACGCGCCCACAGCGGAGCGTCTGGCCTCACGCTTCCACTTTGCAAAGGCGTACGGCTCCCGCACCGCGCTGCTCGATGATCCCACCATTGCCGCTGTGTTCGTCTCTGCTCCTATTGGGCTGCGCTTTTCCAATGTGGAACTGGCTCTTAGAAAGGGGAAGCATGTTCTCTGCGAGAGTCCCCTCGCGGCGAATGCGAATGAGGTGAAGATCTTGGTGGACTTGGCGAAAGAGATGGGGGCTGTGTTGTTAGAGGGTGTACGTTACGACGTTATTCTCCGTCTTTACAGACAGGATTGCATTAACGGATCCGACGGAAGGAATAGGTCGATTGGCAGTTCCATCCAGCCGCGCATGCATGGCGCAAACTTGTCGATGCGCGCGAATCCGGACGCATTCTTCACTCCGAGGCTGTTATGACATCGACCCCGAAAATCCCCTTGAAGGATAGTCGATGGGAATTCGATTTAGGAGGTAAATAACATCGGCCTTCAATCTAATCAGATCGTATATACAATGTACTAATTGGACATCTCAAAGGTGGCTCAGCACTAGCCCTAATCCCAGCACTAGCATGCACGCGTTTCTCTTTACACGCAACAACGCCCGCAACTGTGCTCTCGATGACGGCGCGAGTAGCCCAGAAAGATCCGCGCATCGACGCAGCAGTGCACGCGCACGTGGTGTTCGAATATGCACACAATCACTTGGTGCACGGCCGGATATACACAGACATGGCGCGGTCATGGGCGGGCGGATTCGTGCCGCGCGTGTGGGAGCTGCCCTCTATCGAGGTGGAGACGGAGACGACGGTGCTGTTTTTTTACAACTTCACGCAGCCGCATCTGTATCACTATATCAGCGTCACAGATAAGAGGACGGGGAAATCGACGTATTATAAGCAATATGACGGGGGTCCATTGTGGGGTAAAGTGACCGGTTCCACGGGCGACAAGGGCGGCGAGAGCGGGTGGAGTACCTATCGATGGCAGTTGGAGGCGTTTGTGGATGCTGTGCTGGGGAAAACGCCTGCTTATTGGATTGCCGCGCAGGAGAGTGTGTGGAATATGGAAGGCGTGGATGCTATCTACAGAGCGGCGGGTTTACCGATCCGCGAGTCGAGTACTGGTGGAGAAAGATGAAGGAGTAGATGGAAGCGCTGCTTGAAAATTGGAAACAAAAAGGTATCAACGTGAAATTATAATAAAGTTAGATGTGCGTACACATATTATGTTCATATGCATAATTTACATCCGTGAGAAGAAGTTCAAAGTCCACCAACCCCTTGCAAAAGAAATGACTCGTTACCAGGATCTGATATCCGTATGTTGCTAGGCCAATCATGCCAGGGCAGCGGCAAGCGCAAAGAGCGCACCACCCATAGCCAGCATGTTGGAGGCACCCAGCGCCGGAGCGGCGTTGGGCGTCGTAGTCTTGGCAGGGGGGGCAGGAGTGCCCGAGGGAGCCACAGGAGTCGAGACAAGAGGAGTCGAGGCCGGGGCAGAGCTAGACGGGACAACAGAGCTGGTGGACCACCGAGGGGTGGACATGGGCGTCATCGTCGGGGTCTGGGTCGGAGTCGAGATGGGAGTGGGAGTCGAAGTGGGAGTTGGGGTTGAGGTCGGCGTAGTGCTGCAGGTGACCGGCATCCAGTTCAGATCCTTCGAGTCCAGGGTGGACATGCCGCCGGTGTGGGTTTGACCGTTGGCGATGTCCATGGCGGAGCACAGCGCATAGGTCTGGCCGGCGATGTTGCAGGACACGGAGGCCGAGGCAGTCGAGTAGGAGTACATCAGCTGCATCGACGTCGGCGCCGACATGGCGGTCATGCCCGAGCTAGGAATACCGCAGTTGGTCACGCCGTCGGCACAGGTGACAAGATAGGTAACCGTATCGCCAGACTAAAAAAGTCGAAGTCAGAATTTGATATTAGGTGCAAATCACCAATCAGTACACACCTCGCCGATCTCCTTAGCAGCAATTTTGCTTTCGTATCCGTGGAAGCCGGGCAGAAGCAGGTTCACCGTGTCAGCGGAGACCGCAGCGACACCGGCCAGAAGGGCAAGAGTCTGAAGACGCATGGTGGTGTTTATTTGGGGCGTAAGAAATAACCGAGTAAAAATCCGTTTCGGGAGAATGGCGGTTTTGGTGGGTATTGAAAGGAGAGGCCGTACGCTGTACTCTGGTAGAATCAACTACCGATTAAAGAGAGACTGGAAAGAACCAAAAGAGTGGAATGGTAGCAGCGTCGTGCCCCGGGGTACGGATTGGGAGAGAAGGAGAGTATGAGCGGTCGCGCCGGGGTTCGGGGGCTAATCCAGCATATAAACGGAGGGGACCCGCGGACCGTCACATTGACAATAATTAGCCCAAGCGAAATGGGGCTTGGCGTGAGCCTTGGTCTGGATCCTGTTCCTGGCCAACAAGGCCAAGTGATTGGCGCAGCAGGGCAAGGTGGATGGTCCAGGCACAGGGTCGCGCTGATCATGGGCAATCGGATGTGCAGTTCGAGTTAGGAGTTAGCGCCAACAGGAGGAAAAGGGGCACCACACTATGCCAGAGCAGGGATAGTACCGGCCTGATGGGCGATGGGACTAGCGATGCGGCCCCTCTGTGCGCAGAAAAGATCGACACACTGAACGGGCGCCAGGATTATGATTCTTCTTTTTTGTCCATGCGGCTACTTCAGAGATTAGCTAGTCGTATGTTACATAGTTAGTTCACCAGGGATTGGTGGGGGAGCAATTTGTTGCGGTTCGTCTCAGAAGTTCCTGTGTTTGTTGTCAGGAACGCGCCAGGGGAAATTAGATGGGACCCGCTGTGAGCCCACCCGAACCCGAGTTCGGACTAGTCAGGGCGCCTCGTAATCGTAGTCGTTCAGTGCTTGCGGGGCCAAGATTCGTCATCGGAAAATTCGGGGTCGATAACTAGTTTAGTCACATGTTGTTGGCTAGATTAGTGAGGGATGGAAGCCCTAACTCCGGAGTACAAGTAATAATGCAATAAGAATAATAGTCTTCAATTCGCCAAGTATCAACCAGTTCACCAGAAATGATTCATCACGCCGCACACAATGCCCGTCAGGAGCAGGACCCCGTTGAACCCTGCCATAATGTAGAACGGGGTGCCCGACGACAAGACATCAAACAGGAGCCCGCCCAGTTTGGTGAGCAGCAGGATTCCTGCTCCTCCATACAGCGAATAGACCCCCGCGATGGATCCCTTCAGGTTTGATAGGTGCTGCAGTTGCTGGTCTACAGAGCCCGAAAGCAGAGGCCGGTTCTCGTCGGGCTCTGGATTATCGTCATCATCTGGTCGGGCATAAATCTGACGCAATGTCTCGTCGTCAATGCTAACACGAAGAATGCCATTGCTGAGCACGGCTAGACTGCAAACAATAGCCCCAATCTGGCTGATCCCGATCAGGGCCATCACCACGAACACGCCCGCATTGCCGTCCGGGCCCTTGTACTGAGGGCTTGGGAGCATCGCAAAGACCAAGTAGCCCACCACACCCACCAGAGCGGCAAAGAGAAGCGGAAAATTGTACCGTCGGGATCTTTCGGTTAAGAACCCAAAAAAAGGTGCAGCCATCAACGCGACCAACTGAGATGCGCCAGTCAAAATCGAAGCGAGGATGTAAGCACGCGGACAGAGTCTTTTGATATCTCCCAGTCCTGAACCAGGCACCGGTTCATGTTGCTCGTCACATAGACCTGATGCTCGGAAGTAGTGATTGACGGCCAGAGGAATGAACAACGAAATGCCCACAGAGGATGCTCGGGCAACAAAACCTCCAATGTAGCCAAGGGCTATACTGCGATTTCGGAATCCCAGGAGAAGCGCAGTCGTCAATTGCTTCCAGTATGGGAGCCTGGTCGGTTCGTTCGCAAATTGATGACTTTCGGATGCTGAAGAGAATGTCTGTTGTGATGTCTTCCACAAAACGCTCCAGCCCTTTCCGTCCTCCCCAGGAAGCCCTCGAAGACCAATGAAGCAGCTGAGACTGATTAAGAGGGCCACAACGGCGACCAAGTAATAACTGAGCTGAATAGCCTGTGCCGGCGAGAGACCCAGTTCCTCAAACCGAGCTGGAAGAGGCAGAAATGCCGCCAGAGACACAAGAGCGCCACAGCCGGCGAACATGCCGACAAATCCAGACAGCCGGGCAGATGGAGAAGACGGGGTGGCATTGGAGTCATCCTGTTGGGGGTTGGCCCTGTTTGGTGTAATGGTTAAGTCAGAGGACAGGGACGTTCTATACGTCCCAGATTTGAGCGATTTTCCAGTAACTGCAGGCAGGACTGCGGTCACCATCGTTGACACCGCAGAGCCTCCGACACTAAAGAGTAACCTCCCCAGCAGAAGCTGCGGATAAACATTCGTGGCCTGCACGAAAAGAACCAGCGAGAGCGCTATAATAAAATAACCCGCCGTGCAGACCTGTGCATCTATCATCAGCCAATATAGATTTGTAGATCGAATTGGGAAGCTTACATGACGAACACCGATACGATCGGAGAGAACGCCCCAAAGCGGACAGGCGACCAGCGCAAGCAATTCATCCGCGAATCCCAGTGTGCCCACAGCATCTCCCTCGCCGTCATGGATCCCAATTAGATCCGTCACCACGAAGGAGACGGATGAGTTGACGAACACAAGGAATGCGATGGAGAACGGGCAGACGGCCAACAGGTAGGTTAGCGTCTGGACCCGCGAGGCCGTGAATAAAGCCGGAGTGGACGCCATCATTTTATATCGATCATTGCTCGATAGAGCGGACTGTGTAGAGGTCCTAGTAAGTGAAGATCAAAGCAGGTTGTACGAGGGATGGTGGGACGCGGATGGACTGGGAATGGTCACATGACCTGTCGATCACTTGTCGTTCGATCAGATAAGAAATCACAATACACGGAAATGGTGATGGAGGATTGGTCTTCAGCATTGAAAGAGAACACTCTATGAGGACCAGACATATACTAGTTATGTGGTCAGAACCAGGGGCTGGTGGAGAGCGCCACCAAAGGTAATGAAACATGTACAGGATTGCCGGCTTGAGGTCATTCGATCAATATTCTCCGACACAAGTAATATTAAAATCTTCAATCCACTCTTCCGTTAATACTAATGGACTATGATTCTATTCTGATTAACAGAAGTCCTACTCTGCAAAGGCTAGCTACTTCTGCCCCTGTACCCTGCCGGGCACGTGCCCACCGCTGACATAAGATGCGGAGTGAAAGCTGTCCAGATCGTCATTGCCTGAACGGCTCCACGTTGTTTGACTTGTCGAGGCTCTTTCTTTTTCTCATGTCTCTCGACCAGAAGTAGTCAACAGCCATGAGGATAGCTGCGTACGCCGGGGTGAGTGGCACTATTGGAATCGCGAAGCGTCCACGCTGACACTCGTTTGCAGGCTTCGGTGGCCCTGGCCACGGGGGTGTTTTTGAAGGCCATCCATCAGAGAGCCAACTTCTACGCGGCCTGCGTGTATCTCTCTCAAAGCAGCGCGAACCTCATGGTAAGTTTAGCCGGCCCTCGGTGACTGGCCGCTTTCTCATCTCGACCACCTAGATCCTGACCAACCTCTGTCTTCTCGCCGCCGGATTCCTCCTCTTCTGGCTCCAGCGACTGCTCTATGGGCCCCTGAGAGCCATCGAGACCGAACAACTCTACGAGCGAGCATGGTTCGCCGTCACGGAGACCTGTCTGGCGATGACCATCTTCCGGGGGGAGCTAGGCGGCTGGTTTCTGGTGATGTTTATCTCCCTCTTGGTCGGCAAAGTTTGGGGTTGGATTGGAGAAGGCCGTGTGGAGTACCTGGAACAACAACCGCCGGCCAACCCGCGACTGTTTCATACGCGATTGGCGGCCTCATTGGTGCTTTCGGTCTTGTTCGACTCGTTCATGCTGAATTACTGCGTCATAACGGTGCTGGATCAAGCGAGACCGGATATGATGGTGATGTTTGGCTTTGAGTTTGCCATTCTGACTATCCTGTCCACCTCGACTACTGCTCGGTATGCGATTGCCTTGGTTGAGATCTATATCACCCGCCAGCAAGTGAAGAACAAGATGGAGGAGCGCCGAGCTGAAATCCGTGAAGCACGCGCGGAAGCTATCCGACAACATGCCATTTCTGGGGCTAGTGCTCCTCCCACCGACTTGCCGGACGAAAATGATATCGACGAGATGGAAATTGATGTGCCAGGATGGGAGGAGAAAGGCCGATGGGTCTTCTACCTGGACCTCTTGACTGATTTCTTGAAGCTCTCGGTCTACCTGACATTCTTTGCCATTCTCATCACTTTCTACGGTTTGCCGATTCACATCCTGCGGGATGTTGTCGTCACGATCCGCTCGTTTGGTCGGCGAATCATGGATTTCCTCCGCTACCGCAATGCGACCAGGGACATGGATGAAAGATATCCGAACGCTACAGCCGAAGAGGTCGCTCGAGAGGAAGTCTGCATCATCTGCCGGGAAGAGATGGTTTCGGCGGAGCCGGCTGCTGATGTTCCTGAGAATGTTGGTCAGCAACCACCGGCAGCCGGAACCCAGCAACGTGTGCCTGACCGTCTTCGCCCTAAGAAACTACCATGTGGACATATCCTACACTTTGCATGCCTCCGAAGCTGGCTTGAAAGGCAACAGAACTGCCCCACCTGCCGACGTCCGGTGGTAGTGCCATCAGGCGCCCGAGGTGCTGCTGGTGTCAATAACGCTCCCGGTAATGGCGGCGCTGGCGCTCAACCTTTCAACCAAGCTGGGCGTCAGCCAGGCGCCCAGGGACAGGACCAACCTCGTGCTCGGGTCTATCAGCTCGGACCCTTCCGGGTCGGCTTTGGGGCTGTGCGTGGAGACCTTCTTCAGAACCTCCACCAGCAAATCCACCGAGGCAATGCTCCATTACAACCAGCGAACAATGGGAACCCTCCCGGTGTACGCCAGGTCGGCTTTGGTTTTGGCTTTGGACGACGCCCACCAGCGCCAGAGGCTGCAGCTCCGGGGCCGTCCAACATGACCAATGTCCATCAGCAGTTGGAACATATCGAACGACAGATCACGGAGGAGATCAACAGCCTCCGTATTGCCACCGAGCGGCTACATCATGTCCGCCATCTCCAAACGGAGCTGGACCGAATCCGGCTTCAGCAAGCGGCTTCTTTAGCTCTCCAACCGACACCTACGACTGCTGTTCCGCCACAGCCAACGCCTTCAACCTCTGTTCCCGCCCCTTCATCTATCACCACTTCTACCACTATCTGCCATCAGTTTGTCTCAAACCCGGCCGTGTCAGCCATGGGGTCCGATGATGCCCGCCTTCCAGAAGGACTTACTCTCCCGCAAGGATGGACTCTGGTCCCTCTTCATCCTACCGAGCCAAATGCGGATCTCACGCCTTCCGTCCCAGAAACTTTGACAACGCAGCCGGCTCCAGACAACGCTACCGCTCCTCAACCTGTTACTGGCCCCGAGACCGCCGCCGCTCCCCAAAGCAGCAACGAGCCTGAGGCATCTACAGTTGAAACCGTTGCTAGTACAGCGACAACGGCTCCGGTGGCTGACGTCCTGCCCAACTGGCAGTCTACGCCCAATGTCCCATCGACGGATCATCGCGCAGAATCACCTTCACAAGAATGGACTGACATTCCCTCTGAGCAGCCTCAAGCAGGGCCTTCCTCTGCCGCTCCGCCTTCCTGGGGCGCCGGCTCCGGGTCGGACTCCGAGTCCCCTTATAAGGGCAAGGGACGCGCTGCCACTGTGGAAGAAGCAGCTGACGATGGAGCATGAATTTAAACTCACTTGTATTATTTCCCGCCTTTCTTTTTGCTTCCCCCACTCTGCATGGCGTTTATGAGCAAAAGATCATACCCGGATTCCGTGTCTATAAGTCAGACCGTCTATACCAAATTTTGTTGTTGTTCCGTTTGCACAATATTTCTTTCCAGTAGAGCAGTTTTGGCCGACTATCGTGGCTTGTAGGCGCAGCCAAGCCTCCACCGCGTGGGTCTCAATTCGTGGCCTCCCAACACGGGCCGATCAGGGGGCGATCGTCAGCCGCATTGCACCAATTGGGCCGGGAGTACGTGTTGCCCAGTTTTGGGGGTCGCGATTTCACTCACATTCCAGACCGACCCCATTTCTCATTCCGCAGGGTTATTATGATTTGGTATTGTCACCAGTCAGTCCATATCTGCATCGGAATTTGAACCCTGTTGTCCCTTCGTCATTATCCGGGCAACTTTTAATTGACTCAGGGCTCCACCCGCGCCCGGCCTTTTCACTGGCTCTGCTTGGCCCCCGCGGTGCCCTAATTTTGGTCTCGTTGGCCGCCACTCGTCATAGGATTCTCCCTTGACCTTATCTGAAAGCCGGCCCAGCTTGCCTTCTCACCCTCTTTGTGATTTTCCCCTTCTGTTGTATATTGAAATTCTGGTGAGGGCGCATTTCCCGCTCGCTCGCGCTCCCTCGGACACCCCGGAACACGACGATCGCCCCTTTTAGTGGCCCTTGACACCCTCTTTCGCTGCGCTTGGAGGCCAATGGGCGGCCTAATGCTAGTTTTTTGAGCCACAAGTACGTTGCATCGAACTCCTTTCTGGCCGACGCCCCTTCTAGTTGTGTTGGATATTCGTCTATCATCCGCATTTTCCCCTGGGCGATGTGGCAAATTGGAGCCTCACCTCTCGGTCATTATATCTCTGCCCAGTGCCAAGCTGACCGTCATCTTGTGCGACAGGCTTATATCTCCGAAGCCATTCTTATTCGCTATATCATTACTACACCGATCCTGATCGATGATTCTCTCACGGCGGGCAGTCTCCCTGCTCGGCCTGTGCTTCTTCGCCGCCTTCTTCTTCACGGCTCGCCAACTCTCGCAACCATGGGGCAAGATGGGACAGGTCGTCGGCATGGGGGACGTGATCGGCCAAGATGATGATTTCGGCCAGGGATCACGGTTTGGGATGTCATTGAACGGGACGTGGAATATCACGATGGCGCGGCCGAAAGCCAAGGAACAGAAAAACCTCTTCGCGCCGCATCCCCATTTCGAGCCCGGCATCCCCAAGCCGCTTGGCCAGGAATACACCAAGATCATCGTCGCGCCGCGTACGAGGTACGAGGATACCTCATGGATGGAAGAAGAACTGCCCGAATATGGCACCGCGGTCTATTGGGTCGACGATCCCACCGCAACGCTGCATGTGCCCAAGAATAAGGGCCACGAGGTCATGGTCTACCTCACCTATATCATCGACAACTACGACAACCTGCCCGATATTGCGGTCTTCGTGCACGCCCACCAGAATGCATGGCATAATGACCCAATTTTCCAAGGCGATGCCGTCGAGATGCTGAAGCGACTCAACCCGGCACGCGTGATCCGCGAGGGATACATGAATACCCGCTGCGGGTTTGGGCCCGGCTGTCCGGACTGGATGCATCCTGGCGCATTGGTCGAAGACGGCAATAAGCAGGAAGAGGTCCTCATGGCCCGCGCGTGGGCCGAGATCTTCCCGGACGACCCGGTCCCCTCGGTGCTGTCGCAGCCGTGCTGTGCCCAGTTCGCCGTGTCCGGCGAACGCATCCGCGCCATTCCCCGGTCCCGCTTCATCTTTTACCGGGACTGGCTGCTGCAGACGGATTTCAGCGACTACATCGCCGGCCGCGTGTGGGAGTACATGTGGCAATATGTGTTCACGGGCAAGCCCGTCCTCTGCGTGGATGAACACATCTGTATGTGCGACGGCTACGGCTTCTGTTTCGGTAGCGACGAGGGCTTCCGCGCCTACCAAGACCTGGAAAAAGAGGTGGCGGAGCTCGCAGACCGGGTGATGAACTTGGAATTCTTAAATAACGACTTGGGTATTGCGGAGGAAAACGACGACCTCGATGACTCCATGCCCGTGGACGCCCCGGAAAAGAAGGAGCCGGGCGTGTACAGACTCCACGCGAAGAAGCAGAAAGAGCTCGACGATATGTGGAATGACGCTATCGAGCGTGGCAAGAATCCCAAATACCGTGCCCTGGAGGCCGGTCGGCCGTGGAAGGAGGGCGATGGCTTCTAAGGCAGTGTGAATATTGTGTCTATACTTTTCATGGATATATACTGGCGTTTGGATTATGCGCTCATTGGTACTTTCTTTTTATTTCTCTGCTGTTTGAAGCCTCATGTATACTGCGATTTTCGCTGGCACGGCAAAGTACATATATCGTTTCTGTATGAGATTAACAATATTGAGCCAATTTCTTTTACATGATACCTTTATTGAGGAATTCCTCACCAGTCATGTTTATCCAAATCCGCTAATTTATTCAAACCATGTTTGTCTAACTACGCATTCCAGGCGGCGTGGGAGGGCAGGTTGCATTACGGCCTGAGGCGGTTAGATCACATGACCGATGAAAGGTTTGCACTGTCTGCTATTCCTTCAAACCACGCAAACACCGTCACAACCAAACGAGCATCGCGAAAGCTGCTCTTATCGGCAGAACCGCGTTTCTGATTCTCCGCTCTTGTCAGTTCAACACTTCGTCGCGATTTTCACATCCCCTCCCTTTCTGGGGTGTAGCGGTGGGAGTATCGCTCGAATTGCTGCGCAAAACCCGCGACGCGACTCATCATCACGGAGCTTCGCTGAGCTTCTCCACTACTTTATCGCGCTGAAGATCTAAAGTTTCCTCGATTTCCACGACTTTTGGAGACATGGCATCCACCTCCTCCAGCGGCCAAAATCCGCCTGCCACCTCGTCGACTAATGGCCCGACACAATCGACGACGAATACCTCTCACCTCGATCCCAATGCGCAACTGGCGAACAACGGCTATGCGTCGACTGATAACCAACTCGCTGGTTTAGTGGAGGCAGCCACTGCTGCCGCCGACCAAGATATCTCTAATTCCGAGTGGGCCGCTGCTGCTGCTGTCGCCGCGGCGGCGGGAGCAGCGGGACATCACCAGCTGGATGGGTATGGTGGAGACATGCACCTCGGCGATGATGGGTTTGGCGATCCGAATTTTGGAACGGGCATGGGTGGTGGTAGACATCTGAGAGGGCACAATGACTCTTCCAGTTCGGGGGTGACAAGGACTGCCACGAAAAAGCGAAAGAGGAATGAAGATGCCCTCGACCCTGCTCTGACTGGCGTTGGTGGCCCGCAAAACCAGCACTCGCATTCCTCTCAACACAATGCACCTGGCTACGGTGGGGACAGTCTTGATATTCGCTCTATGCCGGCTCCCTCCACCGAGGCGCGCGCAGTTGGGGTTCACTCTGCCGCGGCGTTGTTCCGCCAGCCTTCCAGCAATAAGAAGTATACGCGCCCGCCTATGTCAAAACTTTTCACCTCGCTCGAGCTGTCGCCGGAGAACTTCTTGCACCTTCAAGCTGCTGCGAAGGCATACATGCTGGACGAGCGGCACCCGGACAGACGCGAGTGCGTTGGTCAACGGGGCAAGGGAGACACAGAAATGGTGAAGTTGAAGCTGTGGGAGTGTGTCCGCAACTTTCTGGAAGGCGAAGGCAACGGAGAGAAGTTCTTCGGGAAGAATGTGGTCAACGAAAACATGGGTCCTCGAACTTATGTTTGGCCGGACCACCAGGCAAAGATCATTGCTCTGGTCATCCCACTGCTCAGACGCATGGTTACCAACGAACGACAGCGCCAATATGCCATCGAGACTCGAAAGGGAGGTGGAGTGGAAGACCGCCGACGCCGGAGAACGAACGAGGGGCTTTCAACCCAGCACAGCCCTCGTTTCTCTCCTGACCAGCAACTCCATCTGCATGGCCAGACTCATCGCCCTGACGATATGGGACATACCATGCCACCGCCATCGGACTCGCAGCCGCCCATGGATTCCACCCAGGCCATCGTGCATCCCGGACTGGCGGATCTCTGGATAGACGGATACACCACAGATTGGAACGAAATTGGCCGTTCCTACGACATGTACAACCATGACTTTGAACTAGACAATCTTTGCTCTCTGTCTGGTTTGCAACAGCCGGATTGGCGTGGTTTAGTTGCGGCAGTTGACAGTCACTACCAAATAGTCCACGATGGTGATTATCAGTGTGCTCCGGAGTGCGAGAACTACAATGTTGACCGTATCGTGCGCTCAAACACTACTTCTGATCTACCTTGGAGGATTGGCGGAGGGCGTTCTACCCCCGCACGCGATGAATTGTGAGTATTTTTTTTTCAGTCTTCTGTCATGCAGCTCTAACTCTCTCAACAGTGCCAGTAGCATCACCCGTGATGTCTCCCGGATAATCCGCGAAACCATCGCTAGTCGACAAAGTGGCGCTCCAGTGACATCAGACCAGCAATACAACCACACTCAACAACCATTCCATCCGCCAACAAACGAGAACGGATACAACCAAGTCTCAGTTAGGGTAAACGTTCTCCAGCGCGGAAAGCGAATCCTGCCACGCCTAGATCTCCCTGCTTTGCAGTGCAATAATGCCGAAACAGTCAAGCAGCTCGTTCTGCGCCGCTACCCTGGCCAAATTCCAGGTGTTTCTTTCACGGAGGGATCGGATGCTACTGCTCAGGGTGCGACTGCGGACTGGAAACTGCGCGTCTGGCTCCCTAACGGCCTGACTTTGGTTCAGAGTGAGAGGGATTGGACGATTGCGCTGTTGTCTGCTGATACGGTGGATTGGATGGATGGAGAGTTGAAGTTGTTGGTCGAGATTGACGGGGAGTTTCAGCAGTAGCCAAACCAGGGCTTTTTGATCATGGAATTCTCCGTGTTCTCCTCACGCCTTCAGCATATCATG